ATCTAAAATGGCTGTACAATTTTTTTTCTCTTTATACCTAACAATAATTATCAGTCTCTCTGATGCCGTAGTAATCATTTCTTCTCTTCTTATATAGGAACAGATACATTTGCATTGCAACAATTGTTTGGCCAAAACAAGAACAAAATATATTAAAAAGCCATTGAAACCAAGAAAAATAAATAATAACAAGAACACCTTCAATGGCTAGAATAAAATTGAAGAATAACATAAATTATGTATAAAAGATGATCAGAACACTTAACACAACTTAAGCACTACATGAAAAAAAAGGAAAAAGAAAATTAGCATGAAAAATGGTTCCTTCAGATATAATATCAGTTTTAAAAAAGTAATTAACATAGTAAATTTAAATTAAATAATAAGAAGTTTATCAATTGTCACGATTTTCGTCATGAATTTTGGTGTGGATTTTTTGGTAATATTTTTTTTTCTCGTTTGTTTTCTTTTGGACCCATGCAACACAATTAAGAAAGAATTTTAAATAAATGAACTGTAACATTTCATTTAGATTTGCAAATTAAAGCACCAGAAATATAATGTGGAATTATTCAGTCCAAAAAAAAATTATGAAATTTCACCTAAATTAATTAGTTTAAAATTTAGTTTTCTTTTTATTAAGTTCAAGAAAAACTTATCTGATGATATCGACCCCACCATATCACATATAATTAATACTTTTAACTTAAAGAGATAGATATATAAATAAAAATATTCAAATCGCGGTTGAATTGCTTAAAAAAAATAATTATAAGATAATGACAATAATTGTTTCCCGTTTTTTAATTCACTTGCTGTTGACTTCTGATGGAAATATTAAAATAAAACTGGCGTAAAACCAATAGCATCAGGTCGGATTTTCTTAAACTTTCGCGCAACGATTTGCACTCGCACTATCCTCATTCCATTTGTTTAAGTCTGTAATTACCTAGCATTGGTGTAAGCATTTGAATTTGAGTCTATATCGAAGTCTAGCACTAAAAGTTTCGTTTCTTCTGTTCCATTCCTGCTACCAACCGCACAAACTAACTTCGTATCGTTGGCACGGATCCTCCAAACCACGCCCCCGGATCCGCCGCTATCCAATGCCACGAGATTTCTTATAAACTCCCCAGTTTTAACGTCCCACAATTTCACAGTACCATCATCCGAAGAAGTTATCACAAAACTATTATTAAATTGGAGGCAAGTTACGGCTGACTGGTGTTTAAACATACCTACGCAAAACAAATGAAATTAATTAACGATCAACTTTCTATAATTGCAAAGATATACCTGATAGCGTTTGCAAACACTGTCCAGTCACAATATCCCATACTTTAACTGTGGAATCGGCATTACCAGATACTAAAATGTTGTTCTTTAGTTCCATGCCTGATGTAAGAGATTGATGACCCATTAATGTGTGTCTACATGCGCCAGTTTGAACTTCCCAAACACGAATACTCGTATCCAGTGATCCACTTACAACATGTACTCCATCAAACTAAAATGTAAAAAAACAGTAATATCAGAAAGATTCATCTTCATTGTGTATTCCATAAACACTGAGTCAGATAAGTTCAGAGTACTTTTGTCAAGCCATTAATAATCAGTTTGAAAGTTATTCAAATGATCATATCAAATTTAATTCATATCTAATAAAATCCTACTTATGCTTGATGCAAGCTGCGAAACTTAGTAGACTACAAATGAATGCCTATGTTCTCATAAAAAAATGTCATCATTTCATATTCGGAATGAATCACTCGACAAATATGTCAAACCTTTTACTACGTAATCATTGAACAAAATGTCTTTGTTAAAGTAATTTTAAAAAGTATAAATAAAATATATACCTGTAATGAATATACTCTATTTGTATGTCCTTGCAACGTGTGTAAACATTCTTCTCTCTCAGGATTCCAAACTTTTACCATATAATCATAAGCGCCTGAAACAACTAATTTACCGTCGTACTGAACACATCGAACTGCGGCCATGTGTCCAACAAGAACATGCAAACATTCGCCGGAATGTATATTCCATACACGCAATGTAGCATCTCTGGAACCACTAACAACCCTAAAATTTTACAAATGAATTCCGTCTTATTTAACCAACTACTCTCAATTCATACTTATTTTCATGTAAATGCATGCAGCGCACCGTTGAGGTGTGCCCATAAAGTGTATGAATGCAATCTCCGGTTTCGACATCCCAGACTTTCAGCGTTCTATCCGTGCTTCCACTAATTATAATATGACCAGACATTTGAGATGACCAAACACCGCCTGTGTGCCCCACCAAAGTTCTTAAACACTAAAAATATATTATGAAATATTTAATAGCAGATACAAGGATGCGCCGATATTTACCTTGCCAGTCGTTGCTGACCAAACTTTCAATGTATTATCATCAGAGCCACTAACAATACGATTTCCACAAAATTGCAAACAAGTGATGACATGATCGTCATGACCCTTTAACATTTTTGGTGGTCTCAATGGTTTCTTCCTCCAATTCATTTCAATTACATGTTGACGCATGAAAGCTGCCTGAAGAGAATAAATAAAATATTAAAAAAAAATACGAATAAAGTATGCCATATTTTACCTTCCAAGGTGATCCCTGATTACTTGGAGACCGCGGCGAACTGCGCCTTAATTGAACAATATCTATACCAGCCTCCTTGCATTTCTCTTTCCATAGTAGATTGTCTTCTGCTAAAAATCTCCAACTGCGGCAAGTTTGGGCGGCCCTGAGCAAGTCGCGAGGCTCCAAAAATGAGAGCACCGAAAGTGCTAACTCCCTAGGCAACAATGAAATGAAATCCCGTTGAAACTGGGGTTCTATCACCTGCATCATGTGCCTTACTTGCGTAGGTTCACATCGTGCTATTAATTCGTTTATTGCTAAAATACGTTCGGCATTTGTCCATTTCTGAAACGAATGCAATTAAATTTCGTTCTTTCGTTCAATTTCAATGGTATTACTTGGAATTGCTTGAGCCAATCTATCATTTCTGGCGGTGGATTGTCTTTGGAAGGAATTGGCGCTCGTTTTATCAGATCACTAGTCGCGTTTGAAGGAACACCACTGCCGAAAACATTATATCGTGATGTTCTCGGCATCACCTGCAACGTTGGCAAACTCGTTGCTGATGTTGTAACAGTCTTATTTGTAGTTCTAGATAATCGCTTGGAAGGAAATCCATTCTGCATATCCAGTTTCCTCTTTCTCTAAAAAAAAATACGATTACTAATCCAATCAACATAACATTATTTTGATTATAGGGGCCACTAATCAGTGAGAAGATTAGTCATTAATCACGTAATAGTCGAAAAACACTAAATCATTTATAATTAAATTCATCATTTATAAATATATATGTGGGACATAGTATAAATATAATAAAAAATTACCCAATTTATCTCAGATGAAATGATTTTACTTTGATTTGAATTCAAATTTTCATTAGGTTCAAGAGATTCTGAAACACCATCTACTGAGTATCCTTCCTAAAATGATATTACTATTAATACAAAATTTAAATTATTAGTCAAATTGTATTTACAGTAGCTTCAACTGCTACCTCCAAATCATCATTAGATTCTCCATTATATTGCTCTTCAATGCAATCCTCCCAAGTTTCCTCTTTTTCTGCTTCTTCTTCATACTCATCATTTTCACCTAATCCTAGTTCACCGAGAAATGTGTTTTTAGTATTCTGTGAAGGTTCACTCTTTAAATTTGTTGGTGAATGAGATGGTCCAGGGTTTCCATTGGGCAGGTTATTTTCACTACATTCATGCTGGATTTGTCCTATGCTTGAAGGTCCTGGTACTGCTGTAATATTTAAGTACAAATTATACTGTATATATGTATAATTTAAATATTTATATACTAACACTCATTGGGAGGATCAATGCTTAGTGAGTCTAAACAAACAGTTTCTGTAGGACTTGGGCTTGTGCACTCTTGCTTATTTTCACTTTGATCCAGCAAAGATTGGACTGGTGAGTTAATTGTGTCTTTATTTGCTGGACATGATTCTGCCATTCTAAGGATATGTTATCTGTAAACAAAAGCAAACAATGTATATAGAAACAAATATACTTAATAATCACAAACATAGCTTCAGATTAAAGATTGCAATGGACAAAATAAGGAAAACAAAACAATGGGTTGCAGACCTTGAGTTGTTAAATTTTGCAAGTTATATAATGCAAACATTATTGAATATTTAAGATGGTAAAACGTGAGCGAAATGAGTGAAGAATTCGTGGTTGGCCACCCACGAGTGTTTACATTAATCTGTTCATTTGTAATTGTCCTTTATCATTAGCAAATATTAACGAACTGCAAACACAGGTCCGAAAACAGATGAAAACGAAAAGCGGTAAATAATTCCCCTAAATAGAAATAAGTGGAAAAAAATTACCCTAAAGTGGAGCTATTATCAAGATCTCGAAAGCGAGTAGGAAATTGGAAATATTTTGAGACGATTATAACGAATGGGGTTGGGTGAAAATGTGCTCATCGCAAGAGACCAAGCCCGTTCAAAGAAAGTAAACAAATTTCCACACTATCGCAAACGATTTACAAATTGTATCCTCGTCGCGCTGATCGAAACAAAAAAAAAACACAGTGTATTTCGTCGAGAACAATGTACAGAAAACGTGCTTTCTTGTTACCAAGAAAAAAAAATCGCGAGGAAAAATTAAGAAGCACCTACTTTCAGAAAAGTACACTGACTGCCATTCTTAAAATACTGCGTTTTCGTTTTATTGCTGTCACCTCTGCACGATGGTGCATTTCTCACCAAGTATTTAAAAAATGGCAACACTGCTCGGTTCCAATAAGCCAACTGAAGCCAACTCCTCGCAGCTCATCATCTTGATCTGTCCTTATTGCAAAATTCAATTACTTGCATTATAGACACAAGAAATGAAATATCGTTTTGTCATTACACAACACTTAAATGTCTATAAATATGTTTAATAATTGTTAAAGCTCTAAAATTCACTTATTAAATAATTAAGAGTAACATTATTTACTAAAATATAAATGTAACTATTGGCAACTATAAATAATAACTTCAATGAATGATTGTAAATATTCAATTATTTGTGCATAACTAAGAAAGATCATATTCAATAGTTTCTGTAATTGTAATATTCTCCTATTCTACAATTTATTAAGAGGCTTTACATTATCCATAATTATTTATTATATACATAATTACATCAATATAAAATATTTTGTATATTTTTTAATATTGTTATTAACGATATTTGCATAAAATATGCTTAGTATAAATAATAGTTTTAATTTAGCGTCTATTGGTAACACTGCAAAGTTGGTGGTGGTTGGTTGGTAGTATGTTGATATTTTCGCGCTAACTGGTATTACTGGTATAGTAAACGCCATTCTTGTTTACCCTTGTTTATTGTTTAATTTATTAAAAAATTCAATTTGAATAAGTGCCTTCAAAATGCCACCTAGATTGAAGCACATCGAGGTGGAGAACTTTAAGTCTTATCGTGGAAGACGTATTATTGGACCTTTGAAACCTTTCAATGCAGTTATTGGCCCTAATGGATCTGGTATAACAGCATTCTTATTGTACAATTTTATGGGAAATGATATATTATTGTTTTAGGTAAATCAAATTTTATGGATGCTATTAGTTTTGTCATGGGTGAAAGAACACATAGTCTACGTGTGAAAAGGCTTAGTGATTTAATACATGGAGCAGCTATTGGCAAACCAATTTCTCGAAGGTGTGTTTTCCTATTGGTTATATTATTTAACATTTTTGGGCTTGTATGAGAATCAGCAATATGATAATAATTCTCTATTGATTTTAGTGCTTCTGTTACTGCTGTCTTCTACTTAGATGATGATGAATTGAAAGAGAAAGCTTTTCAAAGATCAGTCCAAGGGTCTTCATCAGAATATAGAATTGATAATGAGGTATTTGATATGACTTCATTCAAATGTTATCATACTTTGTGCAGAACAGAACATTTTTCTCTAAAGCCTGTATGAATAATGTTTAAGCTGGCACATATATAAAATCTACATGTTAGTATTTTTACAACATGTAGATACATATACAGTGGTCTATTGACCATTTTGCCTATATTTTATTTATGTTTTAAATTTAATAACAATTTTATAGTTTTGTTAACCCAAAATTAATTGTTGTTTTTTATTTTTGTAGATTGTCTCTAGCCAGGAATATTTATCAGAATTAGAAAAGTTGAGGATAAATGTAAAGGCCAAAAATTTCCTAGTGTTTCAAGGTGCTGTTGAAAGTGTTGCAATGAAAAATCCTAAAGAAATGACTGCATTGTTTGAAGAAATTAGTGGGTATGGTATTAATTTAATTTAAAAACAATGTTTATTTGAAATTTTATGAATTTAAGATCAGGAGCATTGAAAGAAGAATATGAAAAGTGTAAGCAAGCTATGCAAAAAACCCAGGAAGAAATCAACTTTGCTTATCAAAAGAAAAAGGGATACAATGCAGAAAGAAAGGAAGCTCGAATTGAAAAAGAAGAGGCAGATAAATATGCTCGTTTAAAAGATGATTTAGTAAATTTTTACATTTGATTTAGACAAAATGTTTATATAATTTTTATTGCAGAATGAGAAAATGGTTGAACATCAGTTATTTAGACTCTTTCATAATGAGAGAGATATGAAGAATTTGGAATGTGAATTGAAGTCAAAGATGAAAGAAGTAGAAAAGATTGAGAGGAAAAAAGAAAAAGCCGAAGAAGTTTTAAAAGACAAAAAGAAGGAACAGAGTCGACACGGACGTGAATTGGCCAAAATCGAGCAAGATATTCGTGAAATGGTATTAGCCTTGTAATTAAAATATAATATACGCTAATACTTTTGTTTTTTAGGAAGTGGAAATATCTAAGAAAAAGCCTCAGTTTATTAAAGCTAAAGAACGAGTAACTCATATGCAGAAGAAATTGGAAGGTGCTACGAAAACGTTGGAGCAGGCTAAGAAAGCGGATGAAGCTCATAATAATGATATTAGGAAGTTAGAAGAAGAATTGGCCGAGGTTGAATCTTCTAAAGAAGAATATGAGTCCACTATTGCTGGTGAATCTCAAAGTCAAGGAAGAGATGTCCACCTTGAAGATGAACAAGTGAATTAATTTACAATAATATATTGTGATAATAATGACCGTTATCTTTTTAGGTCCGAGAATATCATAGATTAAAAGAAGAAGCTGCTAAAAGATCGGCTAGATATATGCAAGATTTAGATTCTGTCAACAGGGAGCAAAAGGCGGACCAGGATAGGCTAGATAATTATTCTAGAATGAGAACAGAAGCTGAAAACAAACACAGACAAAAAGAGCATGAAAAGGAGGAAATGGAAAAGCGTATTGAGAAATTGCTTGAACATATTAAGTAATATTTAACGTTTAACGTAATTACAAGGAAATTAAATAATTATTTTATTTTAAAGGACTAGCGAACAAGCTTTAAAGGACCAAAAGAATTTGAGAGATTCGTTGCAATCTGATGTTGGATCTTCAAAAGATCGGGTTCAGGAAATTCAAAAAGAATTGGAAGATGTTTGTGAACAGCTTGGTGATGCTCGTACCGACAAACACGAGGATTCTAGAAGAAAAAAGAAGTCCGAAATTGTTAAAAGATTTCGAGATAATTATCCCGGAGTGGTAAGCAGATGAAAAAAAGAGAAACACATTTTGCACATATTTTTTTTTTCAGTATGACCGGTTAATTAATATGTGTCAGCCTACCCACAAAAGATATAATGTTGCTATTACAAAAGTACTGGGAAAGTATATGGAGGCAATTGTCGTTGATACCGAACAAACCGCTAGAAATTGCATTAAATATTTAAAAGAGCAAATGTTAGAATCAGAAACATTTTTGCCAATCAACTATTTGCTCATGAAACCAGTGAAAGAGAGATTAAGGAATATAACGGACCCTAAAGGTGTTAAACTATTGTATGATGTCCTGCAGTTTGAACCTCAAGCCATCTCTAATGCTGTGTTGTTCGCAGCAAACAATGCATTGATTTGCGAAACTCCAGATGATGCCATGAAAGTGGCTTATGACATCGGTGGACGATATGATGTAATTAAATTAGAGAATATTTATCTTACAGTTACCTAATTCTGTTCAATTTTAGGCTGTTGCTTTAGATGGTACTTTTTATCAAAAAAGTGGAATCATATCTGGAGGTAGTTTGGATTTGGCCAGGAAGGCTAAAAGATGGGATGAAAAGCACATGTCTCAATTGAAAGCACAAAAGGTTAAAAAAATTCACTACGTTTACATTTATTCATTCAAATGAAATATTTTTATTTTACAGGAAAAACTTACTGAAGAATTGCGCGAAGCAATGAAACAATCGCGCAAGGAGTCCGAATTAAATACAGTTGATTCGCAAATTAGAGGAACTGAAACCAGGCTTAAATATGCGAAGACAGATAAAGAGACAACGGTGAGATTAAAAAAATATATTTTTTTTAAAATTGGAAAGATAATCAAATTCTTAATATTTTCAGTCCAAACAAATTAAAGTAATTGATACGGAATTAACGAGGCTTTCACAAGAAATTGCTAAATTTGGGGTGAGTTTCATATTAATCCAAATATTGGTAGTCGTAACATTTTGTTGATATATTTCAGCCGGACATTGAGGAAATCGAAAGAAGTATGCAGCAACGAGAACAGCATATTGAAGAAATTAAAATGCAAATGAACAGTGTTGAAGACGTCGTGTTTTCAAAATTCTGTCAAGAAATCGGTGTTAACAATATCCGTCAATATGAAGACAGGGAGTTAAGAACACAAGAAGAAAGAAAGCAAAAGCGGTTCGAGTTCCAAAAGCAAATTAATAGAATTACTAGCAACTTGGAGTTCGAGAGAAGCCGAGATACGCAAAGTAAATGATTCATTATGTTGTTTACGCAATTTGTAATGATGAGTGTGTTATAGGTAACGTAAGCAGATGGGAACGGACAGTAAATGACGAAGAAGAGAGATTGGAGACGTGCAAGAAACAGGAGCAAAAGCAGCGCGATGAAATTGATAAAGACGTTAGACAAGTCGAAAGACTTAAATCTGATAGATTGACGAAGAAACAAGAATGCGATGCAATGGAAGAAGAGGTGGGCAAGGCTCGCAGGGAGGTTGGAACCATAGCTAAAGATATTCAATCATCCCAAAAGAATGTGGTTTCGTTAGAAAACAAAATTGAAAGCAAAAAGAGCGATCGTCATGCAATACTTATGCAATGCAAAGTACGTATCTCAAATAATGGAAATATTTAGGTGTATTTTAATTATTTGTTTGCTAGATGGAAGACATTGCAATTCCAATGCTTGTTGGAAATATGGAAGATATTGTTCAAGATCAAAATCAATCTTCTCTTGGAAGCGAAGATACAAATAGTACTACTCAGCAGTATGAAAGGGAAGCAAGGTAAAAATTATTAATTGAAAACCGTCGTTTTGAAAAGAAATAATAATTTGTTTTCTAGGATTCAAATCGATTATGAAATGATGTCGGACCATCTGAAAGACCTTGAAGAGAAAGATGAAATTAAAAGAATGGCTGATAAGTTGGTCAATTCGATTAAAAATCTACAAGATACGCTTACTAAGATTCAAGCTCCTAACATGAGGGTAAATGGTGTCCAGTTTATTCAAGACATATATTTTAATATTCGTATTTTTAGGCGATTCAAAAGTTAGAATTAGCTCAAGGAAAGTTGCAAAGCACCAACGAGGAATTTGAGAGTCTTAGGAAGCATAATAAGAAGACAAAATCTGCTTTTGAAAGAATCAAGCAGCAGCGTTACGAACGCTTCACCAAGTGTTTCGATCACGTGTCCAACGAAATCGATTCCATTTACAAGAAACTCGCTCAAAACAATTCGGCGCAGGCGTTCTTAGGTGCGGAAAATCCAGAGGAACCTTACTTGGATGGAATCAATTACAATTGCGTGGCACCAGGAAAACGTTTCCAACCTATGTCTAACTTATCCGGTGGTGAAAAAACTGTCGCAGCACTGGCATTGCTGTTCGCTATCCACAGTTATCAGCCATCACCATTCTTCGTACTTGACGAAGTCGATGCTGCATTAGATAACACCAACATTGGCAAAGTGGCCAAGTATATAACGCAAAAGACCGAATCATTGCAAACCATTGTCATTTCACTGAAAGAAGAATTTTATTCCCATGCAGATGCACTCATTGGCATTTGCCCTGCTGTAAGTATTATAATTTATTACATTATATTACAAAATCAGAAAAGCAAGAACTTTCTATAAGGTTCTATCATTATTTTTTACATTAATTTTAATTATTTTCTATATTTTTTAGCCCGGTGATTGCCTTATTAGTCAAGTATTAACTGTGGATTTAACGAAATATCCCTAGTTAACGTTCATTAAATTAACTAAAGCGGACAAGGTTAACATGATTATTTTATATTTCATTAATATTTTACGTTTTCTTTTAGATTTCAGATTGTTATAAATTTTATGAAATGTATGCTACACTTGGTTAATTTAATTAATAAACCAAACGTATTTTTTATAGTCGTTCTATTTATATGAATATTTTAAAAGCTTTCAGTTTTCATCTTTAATCATTACATAATAGATGACTGATTTCCATAGGAATATGTATTTTTGTAATTGTTTATTTATTAGTTCTGTGTACTCTTTCCAAGTCAATCTTATATCTTGCGTGACTTAGAAATGCTAGACTGGAGAATAAAAAATACTTCATATGGAAAAAACATGATTACTCCAATTTTCATTATAGAATAGTTCTATTTATAATAGAAACTGTCCGAAAAAATAAAATTAGGATACTGTTAAGTTCATAAAGTTTTTGCTGAAAATTCTTATATTTAATATAAAAATTTGATCGAAAAAAAAAACGTTAATAAATCTTTAATTTTAAAAATATTCATTTATAAAAATGTAGTTTCGTGCCTGAATAATATCAACAAAATAAATTTACAATTTTGTATTGAGCCAAAGTGCTATGGACCGGAGTCTTTCTGCCTTGAAAAAATAAATTTTCAAGAGTTTATAACAGAAATATTCTGTTTTGATGTTCAAACAGCTTTCGAATCAACTCTCTAAAATTAATGAATGATCTAATTGATTGATGGGTGAATTAATATGAAACAAGTGTTTTTTTTTTCTTTATATATATTTTTATCCAACAGAGCCATTTTCCTACATTTGCTATAAATCTTTTTCGTCAGTTCCGCATTTTGCTTTCTCTTCTCGTACAATGAATTATATAAAATCAACAAATTTTATATATATTTCAAAAATGCATAAATATATTTCTTGAATGCAAAGAAAATTATCATTTCGAAAAATTATAAACAAAAATATATATAGAAGAGATCCGCCACTTGATTTTTGTTGTGTATATAAAAATATATAAATTAATAAAAAATAAAACGTGTAAAAAAATGATTGAGAAAATACAAACTATATGTAAAATAAAACAAAATTATCTATACAGACATTTGCTAAATATTCTAAAGTGCGATCATTAAAAATTAACAAGAAAACCCAAATATATATTTGAAAATCATTATTATCATCATTCATGTTATGTCTTTACATTATACAAAATATAAAATGTTTTGGCATTGGTTCAGATTAATAAAATGTTGTATCAATAACGCATCACTAAAACCTAATGCTCAAAATACACAACTCGGTAAATATTTTAATAATATTATTTTATTTTTAACTCTTTAATCGAATGTAGGCGGTCGGTGCTCTGTATGGTCCCCCGTTTAGCGTGTTCCAAACTCGTTCGCATCGTCCTCGGTAATGTCACCGTATTCCCAAATGTTTGAATGATTCTTCTTGGCAGCGTCTTGCGCGGCTCTGTATTCATTCATCTGGAAGGATGGAAGGATTAATATTGATGACTCTACATATTAAAAGATGCCGGTAACTTACCAATTTGTTTAATCTGCGTTCCCTTCTCTTTTCGACTAGCAGAAGTCCATCGGTGATAAGATTCTTGGCGATGTCTTCTTCCTGGCCTTCGGTCATCAGGGTGACGCATGGTGGAACTCCCGGTACACGGTATTCGACATTAAGCAAAAGCTTACGGCCCATAGTATCTTCACGCATGTATTTGAGGGCTAAGTCGGCATATTCAACGTCCTTTGGAAGACTGACGCAGGCGAGACTGTATTCCGTCGCATAAGGCTTTTCGCTGGCGCAGTTGGCGGGAATGCTAGCAAGGCGGGTAGAGTTCAACGTTTCCATGTTACCATAGTCGATGTACAAAACTGTAACGGAAGATCCTGTGACCTTATCAACCTTCGCTCTGTACCATTCTTCATCGACGGTATATTTAGCTGCGCAGATGTCACCGCGTTTTGGTGTGTAGGCACCAGGAAGAGGCGGGTTAGCTTGGAATTCTTGACGAAGTTTCGTGGTCAAAGCTTCCGCTTTAGCTCCGAGGTTGTAGTTTTGTGCGAAGAATGTACCTTCCTTGGTAATCTCGGTAATAACAACCTCCTCGTAGCTTACTTTCCTGTCAGGATTTGTCCTCTCTTCTTCAACCTTTTCCTCTTCCTCCTTCTCTTCGACGTAGTCCTTCCATTTCTTCAATTTGCGTTGTTTAGCGCTATCTTCGGCATTCTTCAATTCGCGAGAATATTTTGAACGGTCGGCAGTTGGGTGCATGCTAGCCAAGCCTTCTTGAACTAATGCTACGGAGAGATTGGTGTTATCAATCCAAAGCCAGCCGATGAAGTTGCCAGCCTTATCAGTAGATTCAACTTGAACGGTGACTTCCTTTTGCAAACACTTTTCTTTAGTGAAAGCTAAAGCTTCCTCTCCGAATGGTTCGGCTTCACTTGGAGGTTGATTTCCCATTGCTGGGCGAGCTCCTCTTGGACAGTTAATTCCTCCCAACAAGAAGGTGCAAAGGCAATGCTCCTTGGGGATGAAAACGCGCATTCTGGAACCGCTGGCCACAAACTCTACGATTCCATTAATACGCTCGGCACGTTGGAATGAAGAAAAATATTGCTTTGATTTCACAGCATCAATTTCGATAATCCTGTGAGATGGGATATCCTTTTTGGCATGGATACCCTTTTGCGATTTTATAGCTTTAGTTTCGGCAGATAACAAGTCGTCGTAGTGGGAGCTGCGTTGATCATCATCAGGCCTGTACCTGACTACAGTAGCGTAACCCTTCAATACCAAAGCTTCAGCGACATTGACACCACCAATTGTAACAGTGGCACAAGTCTTTTCGGGGAAGCTGTCGCGAGCTTCTTGGATGTAATCAATAACTACGTGCACTTTCTTGTCAATAAGTTTCTTTCTCAAAAATTCACGAGCTTCGAACATCCACGGAATATCGTACAATGGACGGAATCCTTTTGGTCTTGGAGTAGGTTTGCCATCTTCATCAGCAGCACTTTTAAAGAAATAAATAATTATATTATTTGTTACTATTTAGTGCAACTAATGAATATAAGTAGAAAAACAAATAAAAACTTTTCTTACCGGCCGACTTCCTTCGGTGGACGAATGGAAGACAAAAACATTTTTTTGACTTGATTGTTAGCTAGCTTAACCATCAGTGCGTCTCCATTAACAACTTCTACGACGGTCGCTGTGAATTCCTTCTCTTTGCCAGTAAGCTGAGGAGAAGACGATTGCCAATCCTTCCACATCTTCCTCTTGCCTTCCTTGGCTTGCCGTTCAGCAGCCCTAAGTTTATCGGCGCCCGATTTCATGAACGCAATAGACCAATCAACGCAACGGGCCAATCCTTCCTTCAGGAGCAATTCAGCGATGTTACCCTTGGGGTAAAGGATGGTACCAACAAAATTATTGTTGTTGACAGATTCGAGAACAATCTCAACATCGCGCTGCAACAATCTGACTTCAACAAAATAACGAGCCTCCTTCGCAAAAGGCACTTCAGTATTTGGATCTGGTTTTCCTTTGTCGTCTAACTTGAAACCTGGACAACGGATTCCAGAAATCATCAAAGTAACATGGTTGAAATCGGGAAGAAGGAAAGCTCTGACGGTAGATCCATCTCGTACATGTTCAATAATAGCTTTTACTGGTTTTCCAGCTTGCTTGTCAATGAAAGTTCTCATATTATCAACGGACCATTTAATGTCCCTGACGTGTTCAGAGTTGTTTCCACCCCACTTTCCTTTGCCAGCGGTCTTGGCGGCATCTTCGAGTTCTGACAGACGCGAGTTGTCTTGGGTCCTTCTGACGGTAACAAAACCTTCTGACACCAAAGACTCGGTGATGTTTTCGGCGGTGTTTAAATCCTTGCCAAGATATACTACTCCGTATTCGCGGGTAGCATTTGGCGGTTTCTCGCACCTGAACAAAACTTCTTCACCGATGAGCTTCTTACGAAGGAATTCCCTAGCTTCCCAGGCCCAAGGCTCATCCTTAGTTTCATCGGAACTGATAACGATAAGTATATAATTAGAATCCGATACTATAGAGCAATGTATTTTAAACTTACCCGTCGGTAGCACGTCTTCCTAATTTAGGGGCAGTTACGCCAGAGAAAATCAATTGCTTTTCTGGTGGAGGAGCTCCTTGTGAAGCCCTGATGATAACAGAGTCCCCAGAAAGGACCTATTGACAAAAGAAATATTTAGTATTATATTAAAAAAAAACCATAGATAAACTGTACTTAAGAATATTGATAAATATTGTTGACTACTGATAAGTAGCATATTTGCTCAGTAAATCTCCATTTGCCCACCATATGTTTAAAATATAAGCTACAATTACATTTTTTTAAGATTCTTTCAATTAAAACCAATTATATATGTATAATGTTCATTTCAAAATAGCATTTTATAATGATATATTCACTTTAAAAACAAATAATGCATATGTTTATTAATATATGAATTCATTTATTATTATTTTTTAAATTAGCATATTTATCATTATTTTGATTATAAAGTTTTAATAAAAGCATATTGTAACGAGAAAAAGTATATTGTAACGAGATTAAATAAAACGCACTTGAAGGTGTAAAGGTGAATGGTAAACATTTTCTAAAAATTATACAGCACTTTACAGGTTTGTACATGCCAACTCATAAGTGCAGGTTATGTATGTCAATCAATATTTAAAATATTGTAAAGTTCGTTTACGGTGCATTCTCGATGCATATTAAAAGAGCATTTTGAATTGAAAACAAGCGTGCGGATAATATATCGAAAAACGCTGTGTTTTGTAGTGCCATATGTGGTGCTCCAAATGCCAACCAAGCACACTCTCTCAACAAACTATGACAGAAATTCAGTTATTACGAGGAAATAGGATACTCCGAAATGTTCCTGAATGTACAAATTTGTAGATTTTACTTAACTTATACACAGATTGTACTTACTTGTTTCACAATTCCACGGTGCAGGGGAGGTAAATTTTGCTGGGTCGTCATCGCGAATGGGCCATCAACTACTTTGAGCATCAGATTCTGTGGACGGCGGAACGTCAAACGTCACCATAGGTCACGTGACTAAGTGAAAGCGTCACACTTTTCCGCATTTACATAACAAATATCTCCTTAAATCATAACAATTGATTATAAACAATGATATTATATAATATACTACTATTATCTGCTTTAATCTTAATATAAAAATCCATTTTTAATCCATCGTTCAAATTATACCAGTCAATGATGTGGCAATAGCTGTATAGAGCTATCTATGGGTGGCTCTAAGTACTCAACTAAATTAGTTGGCAATATTATTCTAATTTGTATCGTAACGTTGCAACTTTTGAATTTTTTTATTTTGGTTTGATTTTTTTGAAGATTTATTTAAGAAAAAATTATATGAGAAACAAAATATCTATGGTCAATAACTATTTACAATGAATAAATGTTGTATTTAACTTAAAATATAGTATGATGAAGATTATCTAATTATCAGCTAGAAAAAGTATATTATAAGAGTTATTCAATATGCAAATGCAACTAATATTTATATAAAAACATATATATTGATATATTTAACTGAAGCAGGTGTATTTTTAAATATTATAGGAAGTTAACTTCCTTATTACAATTTATTATGGGAAATTAACCATTGAAAATACAAATAAGCTATTATCACTTTTATTATATTATATTTACATAATAATAGACTACATATAATTTTATTTGGAAATTGTAAAATGCAATAAAGCGATTTTATTTTAAATAAAGAAAAATACATAAATACATTAATAGGACAATATTTTTTTTTAAGTAAATATTTCCTTTACGAATGTGATATACAGTAGAACCTCGCACAACCCGTTCCAAATTTCCGGATTTTTACTCGTATAGTGAAACAACTTTCCTCATATAAACTATTGTAAAATACGATAATTCGTTCCATATAAAAAAAAAGTAGAACTTGGTCTCACTTTTTAATTTTGCTTCTCATATTTACGGTTATTTTTATTCTTTGGCTTTTTATTTGAAGACATGTAAGTGTTATTAAATTAAGCACACAAAAAAATCACAAATAACATGTCCGAATACAAGTTTGGAAAGATGTGTGATCACAAACAACACTAAGATGCAACTAGAATGACTACTAATATCAGGAACTGTTTTTCCATTCACATAAGTTGACTCAATTTGTTTATATTATTTGTATCAATTCGGAGTCTTAATGGAGGTCTCTTTATACTTTTAATATTTGTTTATATAAGCGTGCTTAGTTTTTTTTTATATTCTTTGGACACAATATACTTTTGTTTTGCTTTAAATCAAACACAAATTATATTTGTAAAGTATAATCAGCTGTCAACAAAGATGACAAAAAAAAATCGATGATGGTTAATATATTCAAAAATACACATAAAATGTGTACACAAGTACACAATTAAAAGTAAACAACATTTATTTATTATCCCAGCCAATTTATTGTAATATATTTAACTACATCATTGGATACAGTGGCTAATAATGCTCTCTTTTTGACTGAAGTGCTTAATCTACCAAAAGCAATTAACTCACTAGTATGTAAGTTTGTTTCAGGGTCATCCAAACACTTAACTATAAAAACAGCATGGTACATTAATGGATCACCTGAAATAGAAAATGTATAGCTCTCCAATATAAAAATTTCTTTTACAAAATTACCTTCATATACCAAATAATCTCCACCAAATTTTTGTCCTGAAGTAACACAGTAACCCTTCTGCCATAAATCTTCAAATACTATGCTATTTATATTACTGTTTAACCTTGTAAAATCCTTTTGCAGTTCAATATCTGGTTCAGATTCTATAATATTACATAATTATTAAATTGCTAATAAAAACTTTAAATTTAATTTACCAATATTTGAGTTATAACTTAAAATGGGCCATATCATGTTGTTCTCATTAACAACAACTTTATTTATTTCATCTTTTAATATTTCCTCTTTACTCCTTAGGTCACCCTTTTTATGTTTTCCTTTCATGATTTTGTCAATGTAAATCTGTACAGTTTTCAATTTCATGTCCACATAAATGTTCTTCTCCTCTGCCAGTAGCTTTTGCTCAAATTGTTTGTATTCTTCGAGTGTTTGCAGCTGATTAGAGATATTTCTGTATTTAACAAGCTGTGCCACATTGTTTTTGAAGAGCAAAACTGCTTCTTCAGGTAGTAGTTGTGTGGGAAGTGCTAAAATATATTAACAAATTACTCTAAATGATTTGTATACATTTATTTTACTTACCAGGTACATATTGCGTTGATCCTAAGAAGTTACCTATTATTCTATACTCTTTTCTTAGTATCTCCCAATCTAAAAACAAACATAGAAAAAATGTATAACCTAAAAATGTATATGTGTATACCTTCTATTTTATAAACTAAAATCAATCCGTTTTGATAAACCAAGTCAATCATAACTATTAATTAATAATTATAATTAAATATTTTTTATTTTCTATTTATATCATGTATTAATTACATATACGTTAGGCCACCTTAAACACTCCTAGATTGATCTTTATGTAATACCTGATTAATTGATCAAAAAATAAATGTATTCCAACGTTACAAAATCTTCAGGTCAATTTAAATTAAAGATTCAGTATGTTCAGTATATTTATTGTACAGTCTTATAAAAACGTATTTTGAACTATCTTCAACTTATATAAGTTCTATATATCCCACCCCATCGCTCTTTCCACTGCGTTTTTCCAGCGAACATAACAAACATCTCTTTCGTTTTCTGTATACCTGGGAGACCATGTTTGGAAGGGGATTTCAAGGGGAGTGTTTACAATATCCCAACATCCAACGGCTGCGCCTGCTACCATTGCAGCTCCTAAAGCTGTGCTCTCAGCCATATTAGGTTTATTTACTGTTACTCCCGCCAAATCAGCTTGCAATTGCATAAGTAAACTATTTGCAGTCATCCCACCATCAACCTAAAATAACATAATTTATATATCATTTTCTTTTCAAGTCTTTAAAATGTCTTCATCACATACTTGCATATTTTGTAAACGACGACCATAATCTTTATCCATGGCATCTAAAACATCTCTTGTTTGAAAGCAGACGGCTTCTAGAGCTGCTTTAATTATATGACTTGAGTTTGTTTCTGCTGATATACCACAAATTACTCTAAAAAGTAATTGAAATTAATTTGTTCATTATTATAGTTAAATAACTATTACCCTCTGGCATTTTGTTGCCAATAGGGCGCATATAAACCGCTAAAGGCTGGAACAAATACTACATCTCCACCAACAATTAAATCTGCTTCCCTGGCAATACTTTGTGCTCTTCCAAAATGAGGTAATATAGACATGTTATCTCTCAACCATGAGAGTGCAGCACCAGCAACAGCCACTGAACCTTCAAGAGCATACACAGGTGGTTGATTTGGGCCTAATTGATAGGCTACAGTAGTTATTAGTCCATGAGTACTGTTGACCTTAACATTTCCAGTGTTGTAAAGCAAGAAACATCCAGTTCCATAAGTTGCTTTTGCCTAAATGACAATAATAAATAATTTTATAAAGTATTTAACTGATTTGATTACATACTTGACCACTCTTTAAGCATTGTTGACCAACAAGTGCAGATTGCTGATCCCCCAAACATCCAGAAATTGGTATACCTTTCAAAGGTCCTTCTTGCACCTCTCCATAAACTTCTGAGCTGGATTTAATGTTTGGCAAAATATTTTTAGGTATTTCAAAGAAATTTATTAGTGTAGGATCCCATTTTAAAGAGTCTATATTCATTAGCATGGTTCGAGAAGCATTGGATACATCTGTTATATGTATGCCATTGTTTTTACCACCAGTTAGATTCCATATAAGCCAAGAATCAACATTTCCAAACAAACATCTTCCCTCATCCATAGCCTTCTTAACTTTAGGCACATTATCTTGCAACCATCGTATTTTGCAGGCACTAAAGTATGGTGACATGGGGAGTCCACATAGTGGCTTCAAATATTCTTTGTTTCTGCTTTTATTTGGCACCTTATCCAACAATTGATCCACAGTTTGTGCTGTTCTCATATCCAACCAAACAATTGAATTATGCAAAGGAACACCTGTTGTCTTATCCCAAACAATGGTGGATTCCCTTTGGTTAGTGACCCCAATTGCAACTATCTCATCCACACTCCTGCCCAAATCACTTAATTTCTCTACACTGCATTTTATGCATGTATATACTGCATCTAAAATTACCATGGGATCTTGTTCTACCCATCCTTCCTGTGGAAACTGCTTTGTGAGCTCTACCTGATGACTTGCCACCACTGTTGTGGTGCCTGCTTCAAAGATGATAAACCGAGCACTTGAAGTGCCCTCATCAATTGCACCCACAAGGGGAGAAGATTTAAGGTGGATGTCTGATGTGGACATAATCACTCAACACTAACTGATGCAAATTAACAACAAGTATTTTAATAGATGCATTATCTAACATAATTGACCTTTGTTCAATCATCTACAAACACATGCACATAACACACACACACAATACCATAAACATAATATTTCCAATCAAATATATTTCTTATCATTTTCATTAAGTTATGGGCATTCATTTTATTTGTCTGTTTTGGGTCAATTCACTTTGATAACTTGACGCTGCTTGTTTATTTAACTATTATATCTCCATCTTCGTTTTAGTCATTGAAAATTATATTTTTCATCTTGTTTTATTATATATACGAAATAAAAAATAATTAGCTATTTATTAACACAGATATTTTTAACTCAAACAAATATAAGATTGCTAATCTTACCTATCTCTTAAAACATATAATTAAAGCTATTTAATTATCTTACAAACAAAATAAAACTAGATTACTTTAATTAGAGTAATCTAGTTTTGTTTTGAATAATTTCCAGGTGAAATTGGACGATCTTAAAAAAAAACTTTATATATCAAATAAAAAAATTCGTCTCCTTTCTTATACGCATCTTCAATTACATTTAATGTTATCCTACAAAATTGTTTCTGCCGAAGAAAATATAAACAATTAATTTTACACGAAAATGTGTGAAACATACCTTTGATTATCTTATTTACCTGTATGACTAATCCTGATAAGATATGGGAGTGAGCTACATAGGCCTTTAATCTATTTGGATCGAATCACATTCGTGAATATACTATACAAAAACTAAAATGAAATTACTTGGTTATTTCTTTGCATTCCTCTTGGGTAATTAACTTGATTAACTTTGAGTAACATTTAATTAATTTGAATTTTGAAGTGATTGCCTTGCTCACCCAGGAAACAGAGGCCAGAAGGAAGATTCTGAAAGGCAGGAAAACAATTACACGTACCTATATTGGTGAGTAAACGCTATTAATGTACGTAAATTGGAAAAAAAATATATATCGCGCATTTGTATTGCAGGTGAATCCGCTCTACCAGCTTGGGCATATGTGATTCTCATTGCCATTGGAGAACTAATTGCTGGTGGTATAATCTATTTTATAATGAAGAAGAAAATTTTGGATCGTGAAATTTCGGGACAGTATGCCTTAGCTGATACTATACCGCATTAGATCAGTATTTAATATTTCATTTATTACTTATATTTTTTTATATATACATTATAAATAAACATGTTTACCTAAATTAAATAGGACAATTATAATAGTAACAGATGTACTCAAATTATATTTGAGTATAAATAGCAGAAAATCTATGCAACTCAGTCAAATTAAAAATAATATCACAAGAACAAAAAATGCATCTTAATTAACCTCTGGATTCAAATGCTTTGCATTCAATGATAGCACAAGTTTGTGACTTGTCTGCAGAATAATGTTGATGTCTTCTAATGGTTCATATTTACATTTCTCTTCTGGAGACCATCCTGTGTACTGTAACAATATTACAATATTTCACTATAACTATTTTAAAAGCTTTACTTACAATTGATGTATTCCTGTATTTTAATTTTTTATCTTCAATAAAGGGTTCAAATTTTTGAAGCAAAAATTTGCCATCAATTCTCCATATATGTGGTGGATTTAGTTGATCAAAATTCTGCATATCCAACTTGGCTATTAAAAAGGAACCAGACTAAAATAATACTTCATTAGAATTGGTACATTTATTAATAAAATATATTACTGTGTATGATGAGTCAACTTCAACTGGTCCAATGTTGATCTTTCGTTTTGCAGAACCTTTACCTTTTCTAGTATGGTTCCAATCCTGATCACTATCATCATTGCTACTATAATCCAAAGAGAATCTTATCTTCTTTGTTTTTCTATTGGAACGCCTCCTTTTCACTTTCTTTTTCTACAATATTATAATAGTAATAATAACAATTACAAAATCAAATGCACATCCTTACATCATCCTCTTTCCATTCCGAACTGGAACCGGGATCATCCTCGTTCTCGGAATGCATTATTTGTCTGCAAAATATGTTGTCAATTGATAACTATTTAGACTGCATACTGAAGATAGAGGTTATGTTTATAACTACAATATAAAACTAGTATAGCTATTTGAAAATAATCTATAGATACAACTGTATTGCTATACAATACATATTATAATTAATATCTATTTTTATAAAGTAATGCAATTTACATACTTAATAAACTCGTTTGTAAACAATGATACACAATTCGCATGCGCATTTTGATACCAAATTGATATTTAAAATGAAATTAACGCAGCGAAAAATCTTTGGGTAAATTTAGTAGAGGACGTAATCATAAATAAACGAAATAAACTTTATTGAATCTTCTACATTAGCAAAATACTTTAAATATTTTTTTTTATATAATTAAATAGAACTAAATAGTTAATTGTTATTTTTAAGTACTAACACTGAATTGTAACATATCCATGCTAAATTAATGAAAAATCACGAAAGAAAGAGCAACACTTATTGTGAACGAAATATTGATTCATTTCAGTCAAATACATTTGATATATATATAGTAGAAATATAAATAATCATTTTATTAGTCACCAATAAAATGCATAAACCTGTAAGAAAAATAAATTATATTAATTCTTGTAATTGGGTGGCGTTTGGAAAAACTGTTTTTGCTTCCTCTTGGTGTTGCTCCTATAAATTAATGCAAATTTTTAACGTGGCTTTTTTATGGTACTTCATTAAACAATTACCTAACAAAATTGGGTGTAAACATTGCTTTACTTGATGGTCTCAATAGCGAATCCGTGCTTGGGGTCTGCTGTAACTTGGGTGTTCTCAAATACTCATTGTTGTTGTTAATAAATGCAGCCCAATAATCGGTCGGTAAATTCATCAAATGCTCCATTACCTAAAAAAACAAGTCATATAACGTTAATATTTATTTAAAATAAAACAGTTTCTTAATGAAAGTACCATATTCTGTTGACGCGTCTCTTTCAATAATAACTCAGGGTCTGGATCAGATGAGGAATAACCAACAATAGTGGGTCCAAATATTTTCGATAGATTAGAAATTGGCATTTTACATTCCTTGGAATCTCCAATTCTAAAAAAGAAGTATATAGTATTTGCTCTTATTGGAATTCATCGAATGTTATACCTTTTTAAATGCAAAATCATGTATGCTAGGGTATCCCTATTAGGTTGCGGTAATTCCGAAATTACTTGATACAAGGAACTGGCGATGTTTTCTTGCTCTTGTTCAACGCTCCTAACAAAATCGTGCCATAAATTCAAAGTGATCAAAGGTTCTTGCAAAGATCTAAGGAAATCCTTGACTGTGCCGCAGATGACATGAACATCAACTTGATTCAAACAAGGCGATCCTTTTCCCCTTAAGAATTTTTCCTAAACAAATCATATTAATACATGTTATTGAATACATTATTCATATTTATACCTTCAACTGTTTAACATCTCGTTCTGAACCGGGAATCCTGTAAAGTCCGATTTCCATTAAACCTTTCTGCTCTATTTCATTCAAACAATGCATAATCAGTGCTGGAACCATTGGAGTTGTTGTTGGTGTGTAGTCGCTAATGAATCCCTAATGAATATTGTTATTTTAAAATTGAGTTACAACATAATTTAGAAATATTACCAATATATTCTTTTGTGTAGGTGTATTAACATAAGGCACACATGGCAATGGCAAATTTCCTTTACATTCAGGATGGCAAGTGGCTCTGCAATCTTTACACTTCAATGCAGACTTTCCAAATCTCAGTCTCTTTTCACAAGACACACAAGTATCTGGCATTACTATAGTCTTGCTTTGCAATACATGCTGTCTTAAATTATTGTTATGTATAATTGGATTGGTCTTCCAAAGATTGCCAGAATCAACATTATCCTAAAATGAAAAAAATAAATAAATAATGATAGTAGATAAAACAATTTTTAATTTTACCTTTTCTTTTTGGTTTGGAATGGTTTGAATTATGGATGTAGCTGTGATAGGGCCATGTTTTGGCACTGTTAATGTTGTTGTTGCTCTAATACTATCTGCATTAGTAATCTGCAAGATAAAATTAAAAAAATAATTAATTGCAAATTTTTACAATCAGGACAAAAAAAATACCTCCACAACTTTATTATTAGATGATCTCCTTTTCTTCTGTGCAGGTTCTGGCAACTGATCCATACTAGGCCTATGCTTTTTCCATCCCTTTCCAGCATGTAAAGCAGACACATCTAAATCATCCTCCGATTTGGAATAACTAAAGTCTGATAATAATGAACCTGTTGTATTGACTTCATTAATTGCACTCAAACGTTGCCCTTGATGGCTTGAGTTTGGGTCCCAACAAGGTGCAGCAACAGTATTCAAAAATGACAATTTCTGTCTTGCATCCTCCCCAAGTCTTCCATCTCTATGCAAAAACTCTTTCACTCTACTTATTTGTTCTTCCAAGTAGTCTCTTTCATCTTCCACTTTGCGGCTGTACCTCTTCTCCTGGTCTATCATTTTACGAGCATGATTCAATTTGCTTTCCAAGTCACTAGACTCATGAATCTTTAGGTCCAATTGCTGCTGCAATCTGTGACATTCCTGTGCAGCAATTTTCAATTGTTTTGCCATATCTTCAGCTTGCCTTGTGAAATCAAGGAATGCATCTTCAACTTCATCATTTCTCTGGGTTTTTAATAAACGAACTATTTCATCATATTCAGCGACCAAAGACAATTCTCGGCCTCCATTGGATGGAACATAATCTCCACAACTGTTGGTGCTTTCCTCACTATCAGACATTTCACTTCTTGGCGTGTAATATTCTGTTATTGGTGTTTTGAAAGCATGCTGCAAATGTGCAGCCGCCTTTGGTGTGTTAAAATCACACATTCTCCTTTGCTTTTACTTAATTAAAACAATAAGTATATAACACTATAATCGTTGTAGAAATGTATAAAATTTAAACTTCAAAATGACAGTTAATGCCGTTGAAACTACATACGCGGGTAAACAACTTTCGGCTATTTGAATGCAGGCATACCAAAATAAGAATATTTTGAAACAAAAAAAAACGAAATATTGTACTTCTACTGATATTAAAATTCTTTGTTACTATTGAAAATCATTTAAAAATTCTCAAAACTAAATGACTCAATCGTATGACTTAAATCTAAAAGTATGATTAAATTTAAAATTCACGCCATCAAAATGTTCTACAAAACAAGAAAAACTTCAGATTATTTTGAAAAAATTGATAGAGGTTTAGAAATACACACTCCATTCCACTCTGGGCCACACGATTAAATATATTTTACAATTGTTATATCGTCTATAACTCTATACATAGAGGTGCTTTATATATTTTTTACATAAAGAAAGAACTACTTATTACAGAATTATTGTTATTGTACTTCTTGAACTAAACTAATAAACTTTATGCAGTGGATCCTCGATTAACGAGCAAACCAAATTGTAACAAAATTGATTTGCTTAACGAGCAACGTTTCGTATAACGAGAAGTCCCGAATTGTGCGCCTGCTGCATCATTTTCCAAACTTATGTTCAGACATATGTGTATTTTATATTTAGACTTAATTTTTAATAGAACCGTAACTGTAACCGGAAAGTAAAATGACTCAATTGAAAAACCGGAACGAAATTTTAATTACGGTTAATTTCGGTTAATTTTTTTTTATTAAATTAATTCATAATCTCTTTCTATCATGTATGCTCTTTGATGATAGTGTGTCGGTGCTAGTCTTTTGGTTTATATATAATAACTACATACTATATGAGAACTGATGAAGGATGTAAATGAATTTTATTATTTACTTTATTTTTAACTGCAATTATTATTTACTATTATTGTGACAGGAAGAAATACAAAATGCGTAAATATACAGAACTGATAATGTGTAGAAACAAACTTTAGTAGTAATTTTTGTTACCATTTATATAATGAGATGAATAAACTTTACAAACTTAGCAAATCTAGATACATTAAAATATGAAACGACAATACAAAAAGAAATACTGAAATTATTAAATATGAATGCAGGAAAAATGACTCGCTTAACGAGCGACGTTTCGCATAACGAGTGACGATGAGAAGTCTAGGATTGCGTGCCTGCTACATCATTTTTAAAACTTATGTACATATATTATGAGTATTTTTGAATATGTTTCACTATACGAGTAAAAATCAAGAAATTTTGGAACGGATTGGAACTCGTTAAGTGAGGTTCCACTGTATTATTTTTATATATTTATTTACAAATCTTTACTGGAAGGAAGGAAGGTAAGGAAATTTCAGCTATTAAAATTATATTATTATTAAATTTAAGAGAATTATTCAAAGATAACTGGAAGTTTTATATTTATCATACAATGTACAATGTCTGTGACTAGCAGTGAATAGTAAATAAATAAAACAAATATAAATAAACTTGTTGATTTGTTTTTACATTCTGTTTAAAGTTTATTACTCACCGCCTATAACACTAACTATAATAGATATCTCGTGTATACAGTTACATTTCCATTTTATTTCGTTTTAGCAATATTGGTAAGTAAAGATTTCGATTTTCTGTAATATATATTTAATAAATGAATAAATAATTGTGAATGTTGTTAATATTATCCATATTATATTTCTTTAACAATATGCTTTTATTTATTACAAATATATTGTATTTAAGTTTATATGTGCGTATCTGGATGTGTACAATATATTATTATTATTATTTAAGTTAAATATTAATGAAAAATATTAACATATTTTTTTAATTTGAAATTATTGAAACCATAATAATTTTAACGTTGGCACCTTGGCATTTCCAAAGAAGTGTTGCAAAACTAACAATTACGAAACTCCCTATACAAGAAGTAACATGGCGTTTAAGGATGATTTAATATTGAAAAAGTGATTTCAATTTTATTAATATTTTATATTTAATGTGAGTTAATTTACATTGTGCAATGAACACTGGAATATCGATAACATGAAATATGATAATACTGAAGGAATTTTTGAAAATCTTATACACCTCTCGTTTTTCTACATTTTTTATTTACTATCCTTAGCAGTTGATTCTCTATTATAAAATGATTTTTTTTTGTAAATTATCATATAAAAGGCATGTTATATATGATAATCCTTAAAATCTTTAGGTTATCTTTATTTCATTTTATTTGTCACTAAAATGAATGTTCTTTGTTATACAGTTTTGATATGATTTAATGCAAATACAAGAAAAATGGAGTCTCCTCCGTCCACATCAATCTGGTCAGAGGCTTTTATATTAAGTGATGATAGTGGGTTGCTTCTGACCAGTGGCTCAATATCCAGTGGCAGTATGAGTGGTGAGAGTAGAAGCGGATTTGGACAGTTGCCCTTTGAAGTAAATATTTTTAATTAATAAAAAAAGCAGTTCATTGGTAAATGGATTTAATTCATACAATCTTTGCTAAATAATTATTTTTAATTGGACTGATTTCTCCTTTTAGTATCAAGACAGTGATTGTGATAACAATCTATCTCAAACTGACTCACTAGATGGAATGTCTGACATCATATGTGGAGAGAATTTTAATACATTGAAGAAAGGACCTCATTGGAGTGAAACAAAAACTTCACCTATTGAACCACCACTTGAGTTCCAGGATAAACCAAATGTGTATGAGACATTTGCAGAAGGATTGGTTGTCACAATATTGCAAGAAGCTTTGTTATTTGCACAGCATTCATTTCCACAAATTAAGCTGAACCCATTCAATCTCCAAGTGTTTCGACCAATTCATCAGGTTTTGCATAGATCTTATTGGAGTCCTGATTTTCTACCTTTCAGCCCCTGCCATGGGGGTAGGCCTAGTTCCCGTAGCTCTTTAGGATCATCAAGACTGTCTAGTTCTCATAATTCCCTGTCAGTACCTACAGCTCATAGAGCAGATGACTCCAGTTTCATAACTCAAGCTGTTTCACATGACACATTATCTTCCAATCAAATAAGTGATTTATACAATGTCCCTTTTGATAGTGATGTATATGCAATACCAGTAGATACAGTAAGACCTCCACTGCGACCACGAAGAATTATTAATAAAAAAAGACGAAGAAATACCTCATCCAGTTTCAGAGACTTGGAAAAACATACTGTTAAGCCTAGTAAAACTAAGACTTTTAAACCCCAACTTGTATGTACAAATGATAGTGGCAAGAGACACAGTGTGGCTGGTACATCAACCACAACAACAGAAGCAGAACCTATTCATATGACTTTGCAAGAGGTGCGTCAATATCTGCAGACATTATATTCAAGCTCTTCAGATTCCTCAGAACATAAAGATAAAAGCACAAAAGTTAGACAAGCTGCTTTGAATAACAATAAATATTCGGAGAATATCGTTAAAACTGCCACGCAAAGGAATAAAAAGAATTTCTTCAATATTAAAAATAAAAAAGTCAAAGGTTCTTATGACAATTTGAGCTTAAACAAACAACAAATTGAATTGGCTAAGCCCGAAAAACGCAAGAAGAGTCCTGCAAAAATATTCTCACTGAAGCAAACACTCTGCAACATGTTTAGGTTCCGTAGAATTCTATCGCCGGAACACGTTAAACCGGAAAAGACAAACAGCGAAGAAGATTTTAATTATACGGAGAATTTGGACACGAAAAATATTTCTAAACGAGCCCTTCCTCCATTGCCTCCAAGAACCAAGAAGGTTCAAGATGTCCCTATCTTAGATTTTGCTACAAGTATACGAAAAGTAAAAGATGTAAGTTACTGTGGAAGATATGAATTGATAAATATTTTATTTATGTTCTATATATTTTTAGTATGGTTGGTATTGGGGGCCTCTTTCAAGTGAAGCTGCTGAAAAGATTTTGTCAAATGAACCAGATGGATCTTTTATAGTTAGAGATAGCAGTGATGACCATTATATATTTTCACTAACTTTTAAGCTTAATAATAGCGTTAGGCATGTTAGAATAGAACATGACCAGGGTAATATAATAGATTAAAAGGGAAAATATTTGGTTTTACAAATTAAGTAAATTTATTTTCAGGTAATTTCAGTTTTGGGAGTTGTACAAAGTTTAAATCCCAAACTATAGTAGATTTTATAGAAAATGCTGTGGAGCATTCACGTAGCGGTAGATACCTCTTCTTTTTACATAGAAGACCAACAATTGGACCTGTGCGAGTCCAGTTACTACATCCAGTTTCGCGATTCAAACAAATCCAAAGTTTACAACATATGTGCAGGTACATATTTGAATTATTTCGTTTTTCAAGTGCAACATTATTAAAGATATTTCTTTAAGATTTGTCATATTGAAAAAAGTTCGCAAGGATTTAATATCTGGTCTGCCGCTGCCCCGAAGAATGATAGACTACCTAAGTACACCACACTACTACTCCGAGAATTTGATAGACATTGACGAATTATCAGAGAGTGAGCATATGCGCCGCGAAAATCCGGATTCCGAAGAGTACAGCGACGATGCAACACTTTTGAATATGAGACAATCTTGAAAATCACCTCACTGTCAGTCAGGATTATTCATATCAACATTTACTATTGGCATTTCCTTTCCCATCGTAATACGACATATATACATATATATTTTTTTAATTTAAATTTTGTTGATACCAAAGTTTATTGAATGTGATTTTAATTATAGTTGATTTAGTTGTTAAACAAACAAAAAATACTGCTTTTTGCCAGTCATTTAATTTAGTGCTTAAATTATTAAAATAAAATGTTATAATAACAAGTATAAAACGCACACAAGAATAATATTTAAGGAAGGAGAAGACTTATGAAGGAATACAATTATGTACCAAAGAATTGCTGAAATGCTATTTTATTTGCAAATTACCTATGCAGGAATACCTAATGTTCTCCTGACGATCCTCTCCGCAATTTTATTAAACTCATCTCGATTCTCTCGCCACATTTTTGCTGCGTCAACATTCGCTCCGCTCTCGTCGTTGGGCTCTGCTAACATGCTTACAACTGATAACAGAATCTTTTCCACACTTTGCACAGGGGACCAACGTTCCGCGCTGGACTCGTAACCCATGGGATCATCCCCTGGTGCATGCAATATGGAAATGCAAACTCTTCCATCTGAATAAACTGAAAAAGGACAAGTGATAAATACCATTAGTAACTTCATAATTAATCATTACTATTCGGATGGAACATTTCACAAGTAAATTGCATTTTGGGTGGACTTAGTGGATAATCTCGCGGGAATATTAGCTTTGCTGGGAATACTCCACCCTCGAAACACGTTCCTTCGGGTCCACTAAAAAAAACATAATACTTCTTAGTAGTATTTTCATGTTTTTTTTTTTTTGTAAAATTATTATATTTTATGTTAGCAACGAATTATATGAAACTCACGTAATCAAAGCTTCCCATTCGAAGAAGTTATCTTCATCTATGGGACCAGCTATTATGCCCTCGGGAGGATTTAATGTTAATTCTAAAAAAATTGCAAGTTTTTAGGTTATGTAGAAACGATCAGAGAATATTCAAATTGTCTTACGCTTGTATTCAGCTAATAATCTTCTCACAGCAGAACCAGCCATTTCTGAAATCGACTATTTATATTGAGCACACGCAAATAGTTGAATTCTATTATAAAAACATATTAAAAACAATGTGTATTATTGACCACAACAAAAGATACAATTTTGACAGGTGACTCAACGAAATTAAAAATTTGACATCTATGAAATAGGAAATAAACAAACTCATGCCAGAAATTCAGAATTTTAAACTGTGGGACAACTTCAAGAAATATAAGATCAATTATTTACAAAATAAATGAAATAGATTTCGTTTCCCCAATCAATTTTGTTTGAAGAGAAATAATTGACCAACTAAAATTAAATGATATTGAGTAATACAAAAGAAACATAGTAAATAATTAATTTATTTGATCTAGAAGTACTTCATTTTACTTAGGGTATTAGGCATAAAGGTCTTATTTGGAGAATTGAATGAAGACATTAATGTACCAGAAATCATGAAGAAATAAAGACTTGTTGAGGTGATATAATTTCAATATCATAAAGAGGAAATTTGTTAATGTTAAGAAAAAATTGAGAGAAAGGACTTCTTAAAAATTCTAGCAATTAACATATTTTTCGCATCTCTTTTTCAATACAAAAACAAATAGCTGAATACATTTTGTTTAATACTTTTTATATAAGATTTTAAATAATTAAGAAAAATATTAAAAAAAATATTGCTTTATTATTCTTTCATGCAATAGTATTTTTTCCACACATTTTCGAGAAAATTGATGCAAAGAAAATTCACTATACAGTGGGGAACCTCGCTTACCGAGTTTAATCCGTTCCAAAATTCCCGGATTTTTACTAGTATATTGAAACATATACAAAAATACACATATGTGTACACAAGTTTTAAAAGTCCTGTTGTAGTAGGTGCGCAATTCAGGATTCGTCACTCGTAATGTAAAACGTCGCTCGTTAAGCCAGTCATTTTTCTTACAATTCGTTTTGCTCATTAAGCGAAATTCTCAATATGCGAGGTGCTCATTAAGCGAGGTTCCACTGTACTTATTTAACTTCAAAATACGTACCTTGTCTGAACAACATAGTTTCCTAAATGTATATTGTTATTTCATAAATACAGTGACAACTAATTATATCTTCAATACTTTTCGAGGTGAATAAATGTAGCTACACTTTCAAAGTTGTTCAATATTATTTAAAGCAGTTTTAAAAACATACTGTTGCAATTTATTAGAAATTAATATTGTTGATATATACTTTGTAAGAAAGCTTGTAATATCATATCTTATACAAATGAAGGAAAAGCAAATATTTGATGTTTGTAAAGCGGGGAATTTGTAAAATATAAATTTGTGTACTCATACAAAGTTCTTTTAAATCTTACTTTTATACCTAAATGGATTTAATTTTACATCTCGGGAATACACCCAAAACATATTTCAATGTAATTTCTCATAATATTGGAATTTATCCGTAATGTTGAAAATCATAATTATATTATTTTTTACTGTATTTCTCCTCGCATTTGGTGCTTATCAAACCTTCTATATTAATTCTATCCAAATTTGTATCATTTAATGATATAATTAATTTTTTATTAATATCAAATCTCATCAATATTGCACTTTTGTCTTGTCATGAGATATTCATATCTCTATATACAATTTGTATATATCTGTTGTATTTGATTAATATTAGATTGTTAAGTGCAAATTTTGAAAACGTTTGTCAATAGTAAGAAAATTATCTCTTTTATAGAAAACCATGTTTTATTACATTTATAATGATAGATATTATATACATAGATATACAATAAATTAATATACATAAAATACATTATATTTGCCACAATATACTTTAAAAAAAAGTTGCCTGGGAGGTTGGATATAACTATATACAAATTAAATATTTATTTTGTACTTCGAAATTTAAAAATCCCAATCATACATATTTAAATAAAATATATTTTATATAACACATTTATACATTTAGTTTTTCTTGTGGCCAAATAAAAAAAAATAATAACGAAATCAATATAATAAGAACAGAAAAGAAAAAAGAAGAAACCATTATATATATATACATATGTATGATATATATATACACACAATAGACACATCAAATAATTCAAAAAAAGGCAAAAGTCGTAAAAATTTAAAATAATAATAATAAGTAAGTTTATAATAATAATCACAGTCGATTGTTTTCAACAATTTTAAGTTTGTTATACAAAAATATTATAATCGAAAACAGTTCAAATTCATGTTACCATAAAGAGAAATGAAACATGACCACCGCGTTGCAGCGTCCAACATTCTGTTAATTTTATACTTTGTTTTTCTTTTTAAGTGTTTCAATAAAAAAATACGTTTAAAATAGATTAATTAATTAATTCACGTATTCCTAGAGGGCAATTTCTTAAGCTGATTAACCAGGTCATCATCCTGTTTTCTATTTGGTGGATCGCCTAAAACAAAAAATAAAATAAAAATTCTAGTTCCTAATTGACAAACCAGAAGGGTTCGGAAAATAGGCTACTTGGAAATTTCCTAAGAAAATAATACCTATATGCATCAGTCATATATAGAGCATAATAGAAACCTATTGACTCTCTCTCCTTTACATGATAGTATCAAGAATAATAGTGGTGTATAAATATATATTAATATTAAATAATCTATAAAATTGTAAATGAGAGATTAGAGAAGAAATATAATCATTTCTCAAGTTCCCAATTTTAGAGTAAATTCATCTTTATACTAGAGATTAAACTGAGACTCACCCATTCGTCTCGTTATCGTAACACGCGCCTTTCTTGAGAGTCCTTCAAAACAAAAAAACAAAAATATTAATATTGTTACTCGCAACTTGCTCATTGTTAAATAATGGAAAAATTAAGCAATTGTTTAGAAAACAATTTCTGTGATTACAATTTTTCTTTTTTCGTTGGAAAGATAGTAAATAACAGAAAATTTAAATAAAAAAAGAAAAAAAATATGAATAAACAAAAAATTGAGAAAATACAGTGATAACTCGATTTACGCTGATTTATAAACAACGTATAAAGAGATACTACTGTATCTGATAAGTTAGCATGCATGACATTTAAAACATTTATATAGTATTGTGTTATTTAAACAGCTTGAATAAATATGTGTAGGTAAAGTTGATCTTCTTTCTTCATTCTTCTTGGTCTTCTTCTTCTGGTTGGTTCTTCATTTCTTCCATTTCAGTTATATCTCTTTGTGATGTAATTTGAAATTTAATTGAAAATAATAGTTTTTGAAATTGAATAAAAAGTAAATAAATAATAAAAAAATATTTAAAACAATATTTAACATCACAGCACTTTGTCTTACTTTAAAAAAAATATATCGTATTTTCATTTGATTAAATAACTATAAACAAATTAAATTAGTATATACAACTGTCGGTCTTCCTTTTCCTGCTAACGTTTTTGGTTGATTTGTCATATAGTGTTTGTTGCTGAGGTAAAGGGTTTGCGGGTATTTCTTGGCAATTAGGAATTGGATATGGTGGGACAGCCATCATTGTGTTATAATGGTAAACGTCACTACAAGGAATATATCTTATGGAGTCGGGACTAAAGCTGGAATAATATTGGTTTACTGCTGCATTCGCATGGTACACAGATTGATTTGCAGGTTGAACAAGTGCAATGCCTTCTTTTATGAATAACTCCCTTTTGATGTCGGCTTTTACCGCTTCCACTTCAGCGATACTTATCATGGGTGTTGCAGGATAGCTGATTTCTTCTTTGACTTGTGGTACTATTTCTGTTAGGGTGACGGACAATCGCCGTTTTTTAAACGGCAAAGTTAAATCTCTGGTTTCTTTTAAATGATGCATAAAGATACCGACTTCATGCGACTCAATTGCATACTTCTTTTTTAGATCATCAATAAATTCTGACTCACTCATATATTCCGCACTTTTGGAAATTTGTTCTAAATGACTCGATTGACCAGCTTGCTCAGTTGTTAGGATTTTGGATACTGGCATATTAGATGATGATACAGCAGGTACTGCAATATTTGGTACTGGAATAGCGGGTACCGAGATATTTTGTATTGGAATATTAGCTACTGGGATAGCAGGTATAGTGATATTGGATATAGAAACACTAGGTACCGGAGTTGACACAATCATTTGCTCTTTAACATCATCAGCCTCAGGATAAAAGTTGGATACATAATTTTTTAATGTATCCGACACCACCGCAGATTCATAATACGTTTCTTTTGGATATTCCGTAGATTCCCTAATTTCTTGGTAACAGGTTCCAGAATATTCATTTTCCTTGTTATCTTTTTTTCTATAATTTGGATCCTTGTCAATACGCGGACTATCATCATGATGAAACTTAATAGTTTCATTTTTAGCATTATCGCCTTGTGCAATCGAACTTGCGCTGTAAGCGTCGTGGGTATTATCTAGAATTTTTTTCGTATAAAAATTGGAATTGTCTGAGAAAAATGTGGCTTTGTTATTATTTAGCAAATTATCAATGGAATGATCAGTAACTTCTTCGTTTCTTTCGATAAGGCATTGTTCAAGTTGTTTAGGATCATGTAGGAACTTTGGAGAATTGGAAAACTCAATGTGAAGTTCTTGTTCATCAATTTTAGAAGGAATAGTTAGGTTTAGGGCTTTTTCCGGTGAATTGGCGCTACTTGTAATTAAGATAGGTGGGCTATCGAATCGATCACCATCATCACTATCGTGCAATTGTTCGCTCAACATATTACTGTAATCTACCCTACCTGGATGTGGATGAGTTTTAAGATATCCTTCTGTATCTGGAATTCTGCTTGGTTTGCAGTCGCCTAGTTCAATCTTTTTCATATTGGATGTTTTCGTGTAATGCTTTCTCATGCAACTGTCAAATTGTAACTGCTTCTCACTCTTAATTTCCAATCTAATTGTTGGTTTATGATGGAATACCAAAAGGTCCTCCTGTCGAACACCATAGCAATAGATAGTAGGACCCTTTTCAACTTTTGCAGTTGATGCAATATTCTTTTTCCGCGTTTGAGATGCGGCCGTTTCGTTTGTTTCGGCATTCAGTTGGAATTTGACTTTAGATAAATCAAAATTAGATTTACTGAGATTGAGCATTACTTTTGGTGGATCTAAAACAATAAAAATATTTTTTTATGTTTGCTAATAGCTAGAAATAGTAGTAAAGTTTTTATACACATAAAAAGAAATGTATAGAAAACGTCTAGAAATATTTACCATGTATTTCATCATTTTGTTGTTTTTTCTTGCCAGCTTTGGTTTTTTTAACTGTCGATGAAGATGGACTTGCTTGAGTAATTGGTGTATCTAATAATTAAAGTAGTAATTTAAATATTGCAACGATAGCAGTAAACAGATATATGTCGATATACTTAGTAGAGAAAAACGTATAAAAAAATATATATAAAAATATTTCTTACCAAAGTTCCATTGAGCTTCATAATCATTTGGCTCCTTATACATATCAATAGATGCTTTTTTGGAGTTACGTTTTTTAACGGTTTTTAATACTAAAATATGAATTATTAGTTTAAGATAAATTATTTAAATAAAATACGCACTACTTGGAGATGGTGGTGTCTTGCTACTTGTTTTGTCATCCACTAATTCTTTCGTTTTTGTTTTTGCAACTTTTTCATTCGCAGTATTTGGGAGATCAACTCCTTTGTCCATGGTTTTTTCTAAGAATTGTTCATCATAAAATGATTCAACACCCGTCAAATATGAAGCTGGGATTGAAGCTAAAACTTTGTGCATATATCCTGCCCTTGGAGGCAACACATTCATTTTGCTTATTGGCTTGCTAGAATTACCTTTTGCTTTACGTTTGCTTTTGCCTTTTAGCGAAGATTTCCGATCCGAGGATTTTTGGACTATAGGAGCTTCAGTTATAGTCTCCACGCTTTCATCCTCAACATCGTTTTCTTCGGACATTAGAAGCTCATTTTCCTTTTGCATTGCAGATATTGTCTGAGTTTCGACAGATTCCTTTTCCACGACAGTAGAGCTGGATTCCGTATCAGATGATAAATCAAATGGAGGAGTAAATTGACCATATGCGTATTGATATTTAGGATTTAATTGCGAAGCTTCATCAGAAACAGAATTAACATCATCAACTTGCGGTTTATTAGTTTCTTTGTCGCACAACGTTGTAACATTTGTTATAATAATATCACTTAAATCCTTATTTGTTGATATTTCGTTTTGAACATTAGGTTCATTATTCCATAGTATATTATTATTCAACGGTTCGTTTGCACTTAAGTTTTCATCGACACGGTAGTCACCGTTATCTTCAACTACAGGATCAACCTGCATATTAGTTACAATGATGTTAGTCACACTATGGACTTTTTTCTCTTTTGGCATTACTATTACCGATTCCGGTACGGGTTCAGGATATTCTTGCCGATTTTCATCTATTTTAACAGGAATATTATCACTCAAATTTCTTTGGGTTTCCGATTCTGGTACGGGTTCAGGATATTCTTGCCGATTTTCATCTATTGTAACAGGAATATTGTCACCCAAATTCAAGACTTTTTGTAATTCCTCTTCAATGTTATCTTCAGTGCAAACCTCTAACATTTGGCCTTCAGACTGATATACATCTTCAATAAACTCTGCACTTGACAAATCTTCCAAGTCAGTATTAACTTGAGTAGATATGTTTTCAGTTTCTGGAGTTTTATTGTATTCAAATTCATGATTAATAATTTCATCATCAGTCTGAATTACTTTTTCATTGCAAATCTGGTCAGATTCTGATAAGACTGTTTCTTCATTATTAATGTTAATTTCTGATGTCAATGCTTCATTTAAATTCGTTGAAGTGTCTTCTGCTTCGATTTCAATTGGGGTTTCTTCATCAATGTCCATAGAATCAATATTACTTAATTCGTTTTCATGTGATATTGTATTTGATTCTGTTACGTTCTCATTATCCAGGGTTTCCAAAAGATTTTCTTCATCAAACTGTTTATTTTCTGATGTTTGATTATCAGTATTTGTTGTTTCTTTGGAAATTGCTTCATCAGAATATACTTCTGCTATAGTTTCATCTATTGTGAATGTGTCATTATTATGTAGAATCTCTTGAACTTGATTTTCATCTGGAAGTTTAATAATAGTTTCACGTTCTACTTCAATTTCTTTTTCCATTACAATATCTTCATCTATTACAGAATGAAGACTTTCTGTATGAGGTTCTTCCAATATTTCCCTAGAAGATGGTTCAGTTACTTCCATCAGTTCTTTTTCTACTTCAGTCTCAGTAACAACATTATTTTCTGGAACATCATTAATTTTATTGACATCTGTAGTTGAAACTGATTCGTCAATTATAACATTATCATCAACTATTTTACTTAATTCTTGTGTGTTCTTGGGTTCTGTTTCAACTAAATCCATTTCATCATCACTATCATCAAGTTCAATAAGGTCTATTATTGTTTCTGGTTTCTTAAATGCTTTCTCTGGTATCTTTGAATTCATGGCAATTTTGAGATGTGATGGTTCAACTTCCATAACTTCTACATCCTCAGGTTTTGATGAGAGTTTATCTTGAATTTGAGATTCTAAAACTTTTATATCCATATCATTAACATCTTTATCCAATAATAATTTAAAATTTTCTTTACTTAAACTTTCTGTAGCAGTTTTTGATTGAGTACTATTATCTTTGGTGTCAACTGATTTGTTAACATTAATTGTTTTTGTTTTATCACTATCACCTATATTCAGTTCACTTGCACTAATGTCACCCAATGGTCTTTGTCTCCTCCTGTGAGTTCTATTCAGCAATGCAGTATTACTTGTACTACATTCAGGAGTGTTAGGTACATTTGGTTGATCTGTCACATCATCATCATCCAAGTTTATTACATCAACAGGTTTTATAGTTTCCTATAAGAAATGTACAAAATAAGAAATATTAATATTTACTAATAAACAATAAAGATCATACCTCAATATAGCCAATTTGACAATCTTCATCTTCATCACTATCACCAGTTATAACAATAACTCTTTTGTCCATAATTATAGAATCACTGTTTGCATTTGTAAAGTCAACCTAAAATATATATATATGAATATTAAAGTATAAATGATTAATATTCAACTGAATTAGACTTACTGTATTATAAGCAAATTTATTAATTGCCTTGAAATACCTCTTTACAACATCCCTTTTGATATTGATTAATTCAACCAAAGAGGTGCTCTTCAATGTCAGAACAAAATTTAGCATCTTATCTGTCATTAGACTGCTTGCATTCATATGGAATTTCTTGAAAAGTAAAGATTCCATATGTTTGTGGTCACCATTGGGTACTAACTCCATAAATTTCATAAGTATTATGTAATTTCGACAAAATGCCTCTGTTGAAAAACTCTGTTTTGGATCCGTGAAGAGTACATGCCTATATAAAATATTATTCAAAATAATTAATCAATAATTACTTAATTTATATACCACTCATTCACTAGATGAATCTCTTGTAATAAATAACTTTTAGTATGTAATATAAATACATGAAAGATCATAGATTAATCCACATTGAATTATGTTTTTGTGAAGTAAGGTCACTGACATTTGAAAGCATTGAGAAAACCTTACATAATGATTAATTCTTGCAAATTTCAATAAATTAATTGTAAATACAATTAAAGACTATAAAACAATATCAAATTAATATCTTGCACACACAAATTATCAAGATGACTTAAATGTCTTAAGTTTAATTAGATTAATGTATTTAAAATCTTAATTCGTAATTTATGATTTTACTTATATTTCAAATACAGTGAAACCTCGCTTAACAAGTTTAATCCGTTCCAAAATTTTCGGAAACATATTCAAAAATAAACACATAATATATGTACACAAGTTTTAAAAATGATGTAGCAGGCACGCAATCCGAGACTTCTCATCGGCACTCGTTATGCGAAACATCGCTCGTTAAGCGAGTCATTTTTCTTACAATTCATTTTGCTCGTTAAGCGAAATGCTCGTTATGCGAGGTGCTCGTTAAGCGAGCTTCCGCTGTATATTATTTCCTCCCAAACATTAAAGAAGAGTAAGATTATATGATTATATTCTATCAGAAAATAAATACAAATAAATTATATATTTATTTATTTAGTTTTACTAAATAAAATGAATATACTTTTTAAATGTAGTAAGTAAAATTGCTACTGTTATTATAGTAAAAAAAAATATCATTATATAGTAAAAATATTTTATGATGTGGCAAGTTTAAATAAATGACTAGTTTTCCAAAAGTATAAAACCATAAATACTTTGCAATGTCAAAGATATGTGAATTAAATATAGAAATATCACTTACTGGTACACAACAGACATAATTCGCCGACATGCTTCAGACTTTGTATTGTATTTGAGCTTTAATAGGACATGCAATATGTGTTTTTCACGGTCATTTAGGAACGTTTTGATAGCTCTGAGTATTTTTTCTTTGGCTGCTTTCAGAAAACATTCATTTCTTTTCACAAACTGTTTGTGACTCTTGAATCTCCTATTAATTACATCAAGTTCCAGCTTGCAATAGGTAACCAATATGTCCTCTAGCAGCTCATAATACTCAGTATCAGTGCATTCATTCAAATCCAAAGCCTGGGATTTAAAATATTGCATGTGTTTTATCATGTGTTCCTGTAGTTCCTTTTTTTGTTGGGTGAGTTCTGCATACTTGGTTACATTTCTAGAAGTTGCATAATATTAGAAAGGATCAATCATTTACAATATAATAACATACTTTGTATACAGTTTTATGGTTTTTGATAACCTCTCATATGTAGCTTTTAGTAACTCTTGTCTTATATTTTGGTTCCATGTATCTACGGGTATTGGTGGGGCATCTACAAATAATGATTGAATTTAATTGTGAAAAGTCCTAAGCTGAGGTGTTTTGACTTACTGATATCAATGATCTCATAGCCACCCTTTATATCCGGAGATATGCTGCTCATCAATGTAAAATTCATGTTGATTGTTTAAGTGCAGACAACAGCTAAAGTCACATTCCACTTGTTTATGGTTGTTGGGTTGTAGGTTAAGAGTTTAAAGGACATTTGAGGCAACCATTCACTGCACTCCAATACACTTGATTTGATAACAATCGTGAATTGTTAAATGAGCCAGACACAAAACAAAAACAACTAGAGCTAAACTGTTTATTATTATCTCCGTCACTGCTCACAGTACGACCGACTGCGTTTTGTATCGTCTTATTAACAAACAAACATGGCCGTTTTTGGACACATTCGAGTAGTTATATCGTAGCTTAAACGCACACATCCCATAATCCAAATATCTGAGAACGTTTCACAAACATGTCACTACAATATTGGCACAGCACATCCAAATCACTCCGACCCCAACAACATATACTTCGCAAAAGCCAGACCCGTATCCTTCCTTAACAGACGATATCTGTCACTGTCTCTACAACGCATTAAAATGGCGGATCTGGTGTCCACTGTTACCAACAAATAAAACAACCCCCCACCCAACAAATCCCATCTTTGCTGATCGCAGCAGCCAACGAATTCTAAGAATTCCTGAATTCTGTGCCACTGCAGATCCTAAATACTTAATACTTTACATTCTAAAAAAATAAAGCTTTGTACTACTCACGCGTTCGTTGTCCTTACATTCTACAACCGAAGCGCGCAAGCCAAACCGGCGACCTATAAGGGATTCCTACAACTCTCCACCACCTAAATTGATTTTCCGAGACTCCAATATAGTCCTTTGTTCTCTTTTTGATTGTTTATGTCTTCAGGAGAATCAAATTAATGTTTATATATCTAAGAGTTAATCATTTGTTGCGGATTTGGGCGTTGGTTTATTATTATTCACAGGATATGATGTATTTGGTGCACTGGATGATGACAAACTACCCTATCGAATAATTGAAGCAATTGCAGCTGGAGCAGGTCGTGACGCAGCCAGACCCGGATTTTATTGATTTTAGAATTTAATATGTGCTGCTGCGGGAATTATTGATTTTCATCGACTTCGATATCATCTAGCATTTACTTATGCGCTCTAAAATATAGAATTCACATTCGTTCAGTTCGTAATTATGCTGCATTATTGAAAACAATTCATAATAAGATTTGCTTTTATATCATTTTTTAAGAATAGGTGGTAGTTCTTTCACGATAAAAAAAACTGATTAGCTTTTAATTTTGAATAAATCACTAACGTACAAATACAATAATAACATGTTTACTTTACTTGTTTCTAATCATTCATTATGCTTTAATAATTAACTACAATTTTATAACGTCTATGTTCATTCATAAATATCAAAACAAGCTACTATTTTATTCACATTATACACAACCTAATGACATACTGACACTATTTAATATAATATTTATTGGAACATACATAAATTAAAGTAATTATAACAAAATTCAAAAAAGTAATAGACTTACAAACGGGACTATTGACCATTCCGCTATAATAATATACACAAAATGCTTATTTTATGTCATTCTAATGAAGTTTTATAGTTGATTTCGAGAAGACTTCGCAATAAAAAAAGTAAATATTTAATTATTTTATATAACAACATAAATGTTTTGATTTTAACTAATACTTTATGTTTTTATTCAGACGTGAGGTAAAAAGTAAAAATAACATGAATGTAATATGTTCGTTATTTTAGAATCAAATGCAATATTAAATGAAAACGAATTAAATTAATAATATTGATTCTAAGGACATTTGTTACGCATCGTGTTTTTTTTTACGCATCGAATAGGCTTATAATTATAGTAAATATAAAATTGCTATGTAAAACAAAATAAAATAAACGCAACAAGTGGGCGCCTGCCAACTGGGCGACAGTTACTTTCTAAAAACAACCATCTCTTATAATTATTTATTGGTCTGAAAATATATCATAACATAAAATTGCTATAATTATGGACACAAAATAAATATTTTTTTTAATTTACATTTTTTTCTTTATTAATTAATTCAATATTTACAGATTTCAATGGTATATTTGGTTTTGCTTTTACTAGCAAGCGTTTGTAAGCATGTGTATATTTGAGTTTAATAAATGTTTATTGGTTTTGTTTCGGTTGCGTAAAATTATTGTAATGAGTTGTAGTTTTTGCGAAAAAATAAATATAGAATATACACAAAAAACGACAGTTCTATATAAATAAATGTAAAACGCGACAAGTGGGCGACGATCTAATGAGCTCCTGCCAACTAGGCGACAGATACTCCAAAAAACAACCATCTCTTATACTTATTTATTGGTGTGGAAACATCAAATAATATAAAATTGTAATATAGAACAAAATAAATGCAAAAAAAAAAACAATTATTCTATATACATAAATAAATAAATCTGACCTAGGGCTGTCGAAATTGGTCTTTTCGACCGGAATCTTTCAATTAATTTAAACTATTACACAAAAAAAGCAATATGAAATTAAAAAATTGAAATATGTTAGTGCATATTTTAGTAACACTAAATTTCACGTAAATATTCTATTATATTTTTGCCAATAAATTATTATTATTTGATTGATCTTTTTAGTATTTTTAATTTATATAAATTTGATCCATTACTTTATTGCCCACTTGGCCTGGAATTTGTTAATAAATGAACTTAATATAAAATATCCTGAAATAGAAAGATTTATTACCAAAAAAATATTTCATGAGCATAATAATGACTTGTATTCTAAATATTGAGTTGTATTTTTTGCAAGAATCAATGAGAGGCATAAAGAAATTGAGCTTCTAAAGTATAATAAGAGGTAAACTAATATTATTTTATTTTCTTCGAGAGGTAGCATTAGGACTAAATACGAAATTTGTTATGTATTATATGGTTATATCATCCCAGTTAAATAATTTAAAGAAAATACTGCAATACCTCGCATTGTGCGAGTAATTCATTCCGTCAATATCCTGTTGACAGTTTGAAACTGTATTACTTGAGGATATATAAAAAAACGGTGGCAATCGCAAGTCTGACAACCGAAATCCTGTCTATCGAAATCAAAATCCCGACTACCATAATCTCGACAATCAAAATCCCGACAGTGTCTTTTATTATTATAAATTTCTACAATAACATTTGTATGGTAGTCGGGATTTTGATTGTCGGGATTTCAAGCGTCGAGATTTTAATACAGCCGGGATTTCGATAGACGGGATTTCAATAGACCGTCTTTCGGTCTAATGAAATTGATGCAAAGAACTGTACTAAAATAAAAAAAATTTAGTCGTCAAAATTATTTGGCTATGACACAAAAACTTGAAAATTATATTCAACGATTTTCCTGTGAAATTATAAGAAATAACTTTAGTTGTTTGTACTTAATAAATGTATTATAAAATGTTCTTCTTCTTTTATTAAACCTCCACTCCCTTCATTTAGCATTATAAAATGTTAATCTAATAAATTATCTCAGTTTTACTAAAATCACATTCAATTAAAATCCTATGCTCCCATTCTAATAATATACCGGCTACATTCAGTTTTGCTTACGCAAGATTTAATTATCATCCTTATCTTTTTTTTTTCTGAATGTCTCCAATCATGTTATAAGTAATAACTTTTAACAATCATTATATACTACTAGCCTAGGTTGTGGACCCTTAACGATCCGCACGTTGTAAAAAATAAAATATTCATATACCGGTGCATTGTACAGAATGCTGATTTATGCATTTATGTAGTTAACATATATACTAATTCACAGAAAATCTGTTTTGATATTTTAAGCTATCAATGGATATTAAATAAATAAATGCAAGCATTTATTTTTGCTTATCGACATAAAACTACGAAGAAAAATATACATGGTATATTATTTCATTAAGTGATATTTTTATCAAGTATTTTATCTTTGTTAATACTATATACATTTAGAGTTGAATTTATAATCTGAGTTTAGTTTCCTATGTAATCATAAAATTGTAAACAACTTTGAATTCAGAAGAAATGAAAGTACGGCAGTGAATAACAACAATCTTGATCAATCTTTATTAATTTTCACTTTGTTAAATTATCTGTATAGAATTCAATTTACATAGTAATTATTGTAAACTAGTATTGTAAGTTAATAAACAGGAGTAATAATAATCATGAAACTTTGAATTTGTTTTATTATTGGAATCGATTAGAGTGCGTATTATTTTGCTGATGATAGTACACATTGTTCCATTTGTATTTATTGTTCCTTAAATCCAATTTATCCATGGCTGTTGGCATTAACAAGTGATTCTAGTAAACATGCTCTTCCCCTTTCCTGCATAACTTTATACAAAATCAATTGTTTCATTGTTTAATATAAATAGCATAGATACAATTGAATGTACACCTCAAGTACAATTGATTAAAAAAAGAAGAAGAATATTGGAATAAAATGGTAAATGTGGAATACAAAATGTAATATAAAATCAATAAAAAATGAAGTAAATATATATATAATTAAATTAACTGGGTGTAATTATGTCATGGTACCAAAGACTGGATTATGTCTACAAATGCTAGGACCATACTCTTCATAGGCGGCTTTCGTGTGACAAACTTGGTAGAATTCTGGTGTTGAGGCGAGCATACTTCCACCGAACCAAACGGCGTAGCGTTGCATGTGATGCGAAATGACCTGCACATCTATGGGCTTGGGTTTGATCCTGCCACCTCCAAGGTTTTCACTAAGCTTAAGCCTAGCATCAACTGTTCTCTTGATGTCCCTTCCTAACCTTCTACCAAAATCTTTGAACATCGTAGAACCTCCTGATAATACAATATTATTGTACAAAGGCCTCCTCACATCGATCGGGCAATTTTGGATTACGTCGTCGACGATTTCAGAAAGGGGCGTGGTGAAATCTGGATTTGAGAATTCCGGATGGAAGAATATTTCCGGACCGAGGAAACGTTCATAGCCAACATCCACCGAAAAAAGTTGCTTTGTTACCGAATTCATGCCTTCGTACTTCTTCATCCACTTGCTAGGATCCGTATCGTATTTGGCAAATTCTTTGGCTATATCTGGACAAATGTAGCAATGTCTCTCCTTTATTGCTTTCGCCGTTTCCAAGGATTGTTCCGGCGGTATTCCAATTTCTCTTTCCCTGAGCAATGATTGAATGAAATATGTGATATTCCTACCAGCTATTGGAATATGCTTAATACAACTACCGATTACATAGCCCTCGGCCACAGGAATAACGTGAGTCACACCATCACCACTATCAACCACAATACCAGTCAGTGTGCGATCTTCTATTGGCAAATTCGTCCAACTTGCAGCTAGTGCCAAGACAGCTTGCACAGCAATGTAGAGTCCAGGAACATTAAATGACTCAAACATAATTTCAGCTGTATACTCTCTGTTTTCTGGTGTGTTCAATGGGGGTTCTGTTAATAGGAAGTAGTGATCTTCAGGCTCTGCTCTAAGATATTTAAAAATACATTGTTCAAGAAAACGTTCCATCAAATTCCAATCCTCAACCAAACCATGACGCACTGGGTACTGGAAAACATGTTTTAATAATTAGTTGCCAAAGATATATTTTTCTTAGTTACCTTGACTGAGTACCCAGAGGCTTCAAAAGCCTCATCGCCAATAAAAAAATCTAAGTCTTCTACCCCTTTGCACATTCTCATACGATTCTGGTCTCCAACTTTAGCAGTCTCTTTGATGGCTATAGTTGAAGGTATGATAAACTGGGGTTCCTTGTTTCCTGCATATCCAATTTTTGTATAGCTTAAGGATAAAATTCAAATTAGAATTTGCAAGAAGCCAGAAGAATGGTTGAAGCTTACCCAGTGCCAACATCAATCACACAAGCTGGAAGCCTCGCCGACATCTTCGGTTAATTTTCAATGCCTTCTAACAATACTTTATAAACCGAAAATAAAAACTTATAATTTGTTAATCACCACCAATCACCACACCTACAAAATTATTTTTTGATGACAATTGTTATCGTAAATACCGACAACCGCACCTCCCAGAACACTCATTCCTACCAACTGCTACCAACTCTAGAATTAGAAAATCTCTGCACAAATTGCTAAATTTAAAACTACCAGCGATTGTTCAAATATAGATATATTTATTATATTTATATATTCATTACAATAATTGAAGACAATATAGACCTAGAATACATACAAAATTGTTGGTATGAACTTGCTTTGAAATTAGTATCAAGGACTAAACTAAAATAAACTGTAGCAAACTTCATTCCATACTGTTTTTGCATCTCCTACGTTTAAAAGTGTAGTATTCAGCAAAACGATTTAGAATTTTTATTTTCGTAATATTTTAAGTTATTAATGCATTTATATTAACCATATAAGTAGAATATTAATTACGGTGAGTAGTGAACATGTTACTTAATATAACAATCCAATATGATTTATTTTAATTTATTATTTCATTTTTATACTTTGTTTTTTTTTTTGTTCTAATAAGATATTTGCCCAATTGTATTGTATTACATATTACATTTCATAAACAACTATATTGAATATCATACTATTTATATAATGATTCAATGTGTTTATATTAGTGTGCTGACTTATTCTGTATCAGCTAGAAAGTGCGTTTTTTTAACTATAAAAAAAGATTCAAGAAAGTTATAAAGATAAGATGTACATTAAAATGTGCCTAAAATTTTAATAATTTACTGTGACGATATTCTGCCATTAGAATCCATAATTGTTTCTATTTGTAATTTAACTTTTAATTATTTCTAGTGTAGGATATTTTATTTTATAAAAATGGAAAATGGAAAAGACAAGCAAAAGAAAGTTGTTAAGCCCAACAAGAAACCTATTGTAAGTCATCATTATTCATTTAAATATATATTTATATCAATTTTTATTCATATTTAAGAATGCGAACTTATGTTCTAATAAAAATGGTCAAGCTTCAAAGGGTGCTATTCCAAAAATTAAACCTTTAGTAAAACAAAGAGCAAATGATTTATTGCACAAAAAGAAAGATCTTTCATCTGAATCTAAACCTTCTGGCATGAATGTGAATCAAGCAAGTGCACAGAAAACTGAAGACAATTCAATTGAAGTGGATGTGCAGAATACTAAAGAAAGACAAACATATGAAAATGTTATTTCAACTATTGCAACTGCAGATGATCAGTTGAGAAAGTTAAGGGTTTTATTGAAGAAAAGAGGAAAGGTTGATGAACCTGTAGAATTATCACAAGAAAATGAAAATAATCCAACTGAAATAGCTGTACTTAGAGATTTATTAAAAAATAGAGGAAAAAGGAACTCTGGGTTAAATTCATCAGATAACACTGGGTTAAATTCATCAGAGAACTCTGGGTTAAATTCATCAGATAACACTGTGTTAAATTCATCAGAGAACTCTGGGTTAAATTCATCAGCTGTAAATAATACTGATGTGGAGAGAAATGCTGAAGTATCAATGGACCAGTTAAATTTGATACCAGCTGGTGCTACATTGGCAAACCGTATACAGGCGCTCCAGAAAATTGCAAACAACATGGGACATGGGACATATTATAATACAATTGTACCATGCAATAAAGAAGAGAATGAAAATGATTTCAAGGGTATTGAAGAGTTAAATTCAAATTGCACTTTTCGAACTGTTGACAGTAATACACATAGTACAAGTTCTAGTACTTCCAGATATAAATGCAACATATCTGATGCAAGGGTCATACCAATTAATTCAGTCAATAATACAGACAGAAAGCAATTCAGAATTGGCTGCTCCTGCAAGCAATGTAAACACTTTAACATTAGTACGTTTGAAGATATGTTTGACCACACTACTAATAGGACTCCAGAGATTAATGTTCCCTCATATATGAAACATTTTATCAGGGACAGTACGACAGAATATACATTTTCCACTATTTACGCGAAAAAATTCGATTCCTCGATGAGATCGAAAGGAAAATCACGTCAAGTGCTTGCACATGGGTAAGCGCATCGATTATTTCATTGTTAGTTCTCTATAAAAATAAAGTTAATGTTTTATATGAATTTCAGTTTACATCCACCGGTTATGGCAGAATTGTTCCAGGAGATTCCGTTCGAAAAATCTGTTTACAGCTCTTTGCATCAATTCAACTTTAAAGAGTTGAAGCCTGTTCAAACATTCGCTCTTCCTGCTATTATGAACAATTCCCATGTTTGCATGGTCAGTGGAAATAAAAGCGGGAAAACTATAGCTTATATTTCTGCCCTTTTCTCGTTTAAAATGGACGGTAAAATGTACGCAAAATTACCAGATAAAGATGGTCCATTTAGCATTGTTCTTTGCTCTAATTCAATCAAGGTTGAAAATATCCATGATATGTTCAAGAATTTTTCCAAAAGTAAAGAACTGAAGAGCAGCTTTAAATGTTCCATGGCCTTCAATTTGATCGACACGAAAATGGTATATACACGATATATAATTACCATAACTTATTAAACACTGTGTTCTTTCAGTCGAAAATCAACAAAAATGCCGACGTGATGGTGGTAAACCCTAGCTCACTGATTGTTTTATTGAAAAATAACATCATTACTTTAAAACGTTTGTGTCATATAATTATTGAAGATCTCGATATCATAGCCAGAGACTACAATAAGACTTTGTTGAGCATATTTAAATTGATTAACGAAATGTTAAGTCACCGACGTGGCGACCAGTCGGTACAGTTTATCAGTACAGCTGAGAATTGGACTATAGATTTAGAGAATACCCTTAAAAAGTTGTACAAGTTGCCATTAATCTGCATTGCTAATCCTATACAAGCTGCTGCTTATGGAACTGCAAATATTCAACTTATTGAAGTATCGGTAAATAAGAAAGCAACGAAGGTTGTCGAAATTATTCGTGACCTATCGCAAATACAGAAATCTTTGATTGTATGTGATATTGAAGACATTGAGACAATTAGAAAGGAATTCCGTGCAAATGATATGGATATCCTGTGCATCGACGAATCTATGAATTCGGATGACATATACGATATAGAGAATATTTGGTGTAGAAGGATCTATAACACTAATGCTGGTAATACTATGAAAGTCATTAATCAAAATTGATACTATTTTTTATACATTAAATAACATTTTTATTTTTTTTCTGTTTAGTGTTGGTTTGCACAGATCAAATTTTGTCTGCAAACTTGTGCATCAGAGATGCATGGCTGTTGATTAACTATTCTATACCAGATACTTGGAGCACCTTTACAAAAAGATTTGCGTATCTAATTGATCACTATAAGAGCCCTTTTGAATTTAAAAATGTAAATTAGAGCTAACACAGTTTTCATCACATACTAAAATTAATTTGTTTTAGCGTTGTTACAACTCTAAAATTATAACACTGATCGATGAAAATGCGTTTATGACTTTTCCTAGGATAAACCATTTTTTCGAAAGCATGGGAGCAACTTTACCAACTAGATTAATAACAGCTGCTAAAGTAACATGTTTATAACTGTAATGAATATGTAAATATTATTACTATTATTCTTATTGTAGGAATATAGAGAGATGGAGGAAGAGGGTAAGGTTGTTGCGAATGTCAAATTGTGTAATGTTTTGAAAACATTTGGCAAATGTAATATTTTGAAGTGTAGTGATCGACACATATTGAACAAAAAATTAGACGGTCCGAATCATCCGTTCTCTACAACTATGGGAAAGCTAAAATATAAAATCCTTGAAATCTTGAACATTAATAGGTTCTTAGTAAGACCAGTAGAATATATTGATTGTGATAACGTTATTCACGATTTAGAAGCTCCGATCCAAAATATTTCAGATGTATTGAGTAGTATTAAAAGCTACGATAAATCTACAAGTATTAAAATACGGGGTAATTACGTTTATATCGAAGAAAGTAATTGCATCAGATGTGTTGTTAATAAAATAGTAACCATGGATAGTATCACCAAAGAACCAATCTTAGTTGAAATTCAATCTTTAGATTTTGGATATCAAAAAGTAGTTGATAGTAATAAACTCATGATAATTCCAAATGTATTGAACAACGTTCCACCTTCTTGTAAGTGTTCGCTTAATGTTACTAGAAATGATAATGTTATTTAAAATTTTTAGATATTGAATTATGTATTGGAAATTTGATTCCATCAAATAACGAGCCCGATTGGAATTCTTTATCAATAATGCATATGGCTATGAAGTTGAATACTGAAAAATACAAGAATAAGAATTACTACTGCCTCGACAATATTCTACTGCAAATCGGCAACACCATCTGGGTGGAGGACTTACACCTCAACGTTAATCTTGCTAATGTTTCCAAAGAAGTTACACTTTTTAGACTAAGGAAATTTGTCGAAGAAAGAAGATTGGCCAACATAAATGAGGAATCGATGATTGGATTGTACGCATTGTGCGAGAAATACGGTTTGCAATTGCCTAAATCTCGAATAATCGTAAAGAAAATTTTGAAAGATACGCAAATTCAACCTCAATGGGCACATCTATCTGACAACGAGTTCAATAGTGTTTACTTTTGTAGCGGAATTAATCCGAATAGGTTCTATGTTCGCCTGAGCAAGCATACGAAACTGTAAGTATATTGAAATTTTAGCTAAACCTTTTAGTAAATTTGTTTTCTTTTAGTTACATACAAATGCAAAAAGATATTCAAAAGGAGATTAAAAGTGCACCATACTTAAGTTTAAATTCGAAACAAATTACTGTTGGTCATTGTTATTTGGGAATGGATCCTAATGATTCTGAATATTACAGAGTAATAGTTCAAGAAATCAAAGGAGACAAAGCAAATTGCGTTTTTGTGGATGATGGAACATTACTGAACATACCATTAACTGAGCTTAAACATTTGTCAAATCATTTCATATCAAGATTACCGTTTCAGGTTGTTACTGTTCAATACATATGTTTTAATGAATTTTAATTATGAATTTGTTGTAGGCGATTGAATGTTCATTGTATGGCATTAAACCATGCAATTCCGACTGGACGTGTGAAGTAGATGTGCTATACGGTTACTGTCAAGAACCGCACAGTGATTATTACAGAAAATTGTATTCTTTCACCAAGCAAACTGATATTGGAAAGTTCAATGCAAATAGCAGATATGAAATAATACTTGTTGACTGCATGGAAGGAACTACAATCCTAAACCAACTATTTGTAGATAGTGGATATGGTACTTGTAGCAGAAATGTAACATTCGATATTGATACAAAAGCATTGTACCTTAAACATAATGGTTGTCGCAGTGAAGATGCTAAACATGAAGGTATAGCGAGTGATTTTGAAATTATTTTTTATTGTTAACGAATTCTTTGGATTTCAGAAAGTAATATCGATCAAAATGATGAAATGGATGACGATGAATGGGACTTTGAGCTATTTGATGCTGAACAGTTCTTCAAAGCTCTAACAGGTCAAATACATGGTGACATACTAACTTTGAGTCATAGCGAAAATAAACAATCTGTTGAGGTTGATAATAGTCCTGTACCTACAACTTCTGGCCATTGCCTCCCAGACATTCTCTGGTATCAAACATCAAACAGTATTCGTCTTGATATTTCTTTAATTGATGTTACAGATTACTCATTGACTTTGGCAGCTGGTAGATTGTTAAGTTTCCAGTAAGTTTATAATACTTAAAGGCGAAATCAAATTGACTTACGTTATTTATGTTCTAAGGTGCATGCAAAATGGCAGAGATTACAGATTTTCCTTCCAACTATTCGATAAAGTTCAAAAAAAGTTTGAGCATAAAGCTAAAGCTAGATATATTAAGGTTAAATTGACTAAAGTTAAGGAAATCGATTGGCCTAGATTAATGTTCTTAAAAGATAGAATGAGGAACATTAAGTATAATTTCAACAAAATTTACATTGAGGAGGACGTCGAAACGAAGAAGACATTTTTAGATATTGGGAAGACGGAGGAAGATCTTATTAACAACGACGAAGACGAGGAACAAGATGACAATACTAATTTAGATGTTTACGATAGTTTCTCAGATACAGATTCGACAGATTATGAAGAAGAAACTAACTCTGATGCAGAGTAGGCTAATGGAAAAAAAGAAAATAACGTTACTTTTTATACTTTTATTTTTGCCTCTTTGGGCCACCATATTTTTGTACTTTTCTATTATATTTTAAATATTGTTAATTGTGTTTATACTGAAAATGAAGTTTTAAGTTCTTCATAATTGCGTTTCGTTGATACTTAACTTCCCGATAACATAATGCCGATAATACAGCCGGGCATTCATATTGTATTGATTCCTCGACTAAAACTTCATTCCTGTTTTCTGTTTTCGTAAACTTCATTTCGCTTATTGATTTTACTGCAAAAAGAATTAGCATTTATGTTTGTTTATTTATGTGTTGACGGTTGCCTATGTCTCAATAACGTTACAAAACTTACAGCAAAACCAGTTGAATAGACATGTATTATGTTCCGAATTGATGTAATGGACGTCAGATGTTGATTTTACATCGAAATTCGCGATTGCTTCGTTACTTAAATATGGCCAATGGGAGAGATGTTCATCATACTTTACAGTGTATTTCCAATGGTCGTAGTTTCCACTTTCAGAAATAATGTTAAAATCAACGCTGAAATGGATTTATAATCAAATAATGTTACTTATTGGTTTCGATTACTTACATTGTGGGGTTTAACGTTTTCATGTTACTAAAATCTGCAACATATTCCCAAGCTTCTGCAGGTTTTACGTCTTGTAGCTTCACAAAATCGTAATGGTTATTATATCTCTTCCTCATCAATAGGTAGAGAATAATTATAAAAACTATGGAGAATAACAGTTTCTTTATTTTCCATTGCATTATTTTCATGGCTGTGTTCTGGATATGTGGCTTAACCGGCAAGAACTATCAGAAACTAAAGGAAATGAAGTGATGAATTCCTCTGGTAAAGATAAACAAACCTCCTACGCCACATGTTCATAAATGAAACACAAACAGATGCCAAATAGAAAAACTACTAAATTATAAAATAAAAAATCTATATTTGAAAGTAAATTTGTTAAGTTTCCATAATTATAACTAGCTAATAATATTTCAAATTGTTTAGTGAATATTTTAACTTCATAATCTATAAATAGTTTACACCATAGGCGCACTTTATAATTAATTATTATTCAATACAATGTAAATAATAAATAACAATTTTTCCATAATACTATTATGATGCTGTATACATTATAAGCAAAAAACAGCCTACTAAAGTGAAGCAACATTTTTTTGCTAATTGCATATGGATGACCTTTAACGATATTGTTTTATTTATCAAATATAAATGAGATAAATGTCGCATTAATATAATATATTTGTTATATAATAGAGGTGAATAAAATCTTATATTACTATAATTAAATTGGATTTGTCAATTGTATAATAATTATTAATTGAAAAAAACAAGAGTGGTAAAATGTTGTTTTAATTTCGAATGGAAAATCGTATTTATATTATTAAATATCGCGTGCGTTTCCACGTCTGCTCTAAGTGGATAATAACGTGTGTATACAAATGACTATTTTTTTAGAATTAAGTATAATTACGTGATAGAAACACATTACGAAATTAAATCTTTTCATTCCCATATGCATTCTTATCTACATTACTTCGTTACGCTTATTTTAAGTGGTTATGGTGGTTATATCGTACGCCACTGCTCCGGATTTGTATATAAGACTGATATAAGCCGGTTTTGTAACTGTAATCTGAATCAATCAGTATATGACCGTGTTTTGAGCAGTTTCTAAATATGAGTTCTTTACATTTGGCTGCAGGTTTGATAAATATTAAATGTCCTATAAACTTTGTTATTACACTAAAATTATTGTTCCGTTTCTGAGGTTCTGAACAACCAGCTAAAGTTGATGGAAAACTACGTCTGTATTCCATGGAATTTTGCCCTTATGCTCACAGATCTAGATTAGTGTTAAAGGCCAAGAACCTTCCACATGATATTGTAAATGTTAATCTCATGAACAAACCAGAATGGCTTTTTAAAATTCATCCTGAAGGTATATCATCAATGCTGTGCATATTTATCAATACATTATTTTTGTTGTGCTTTGTTAGGAAAAGTACCTACTTTGGATACTGGTTCAGAAATCATTGTTGAGAGTTTGGATATCTGTAATTATTTGGATGATAAGTATCCGGAACCCCCACTGTATCCATCTGATGAAGCAACTAAGGCTAAAGATAAGGAATTGATTCAGAAAATTGGTTCATTGACTGCTGTCTTTACAAAGATTATTTTTATGCAAGAGAAGAAGTCACCTGCTGAGTGGCTCGAAGAATTGCTACCACACCTGAATGTCTTTGAAGAAGAATTAAAAAAGAGAGGCACTGTGTATTTTGGTGGCTCAAATCCAGGCATGGTAATATATATATATATATATATGCATAATATGATATCTAAATTTAGGTGTTTAATTTCGTTCTTATTTAGGTTGATTACATGCTCTGGCCATGGGGTGAGAGAGCAAAGACCATTGGAATTATTTTGGGAGAAAAGTTGCCAATCTTGGATGGCGATTTACCCTGCTTGAGATCTTGGAAAAAAGCTATCAGAAATCATCCTGTTCCTGATAGCATGTATAATGGCCCAGAAAAATTCTATAAAGTAGTGCTGTTCAAAACGGCAGGACATAAGCCAGAATATGATAAGATTTAAAGTGTTATTCCAAGTTAAATAATGTACTTATTTAATTAATTTTGAAATCGCTATTTGTTTTTTCTTTATAAATATTTACTCGACTATTATATTTTTATTCATTGTTAATCTTTATTTGTTGGTTGTGGAGCTACAATAAAAACTGCTTCTAGTTGCTATTAAATTGGATTTTTTTCTAGAAAACCCGCACAAAACATTTTATTCGGTGTTAATAATATTTTCGTTCATATAACGAAAATAAAATGTAAATCGCACGGCGATCTATAATTACACACACTCGTCAGTATTGCTTCGAGTTGGATGTTTGCTAGTTCAAAGCAGCTGTAAGTGCTTCAAATAATTTCATTCAATCTCTTGTATAATTAGTTTGCTCTTCGGTTTAAAGAATAAGTATGCCTTTGCATGTGAAGAAAGAGATAGCGGAATGCGATAGACATTCTTACGACGTTGCCACAATTATATTTCACAATGGCTCGCTATATAGTGGTGCTGATGATGGAAAGATCATTGTAAGTATACTTTATCTTTATTGTTTTCTTATGAGTATTAATATATATTTTTATTTAGAAGTGGGATACGGAATTACAAAAAGTTGCGGAAGCCGAAGCCCATCTATCATCCATTTATGCTTTGGCAGCATCCGACGATGTTCTATATTCGTGTTCGAATGATGGAACTATAAAATCATGGTCGTTCGATTTGAAACCGCTGAAAACATTGGCGACGGAAAATTGCGAATTCTGGAAAATTCAAGTCGAAGATGGAGTTTTATTTGCAGGAGATGATCAAGGAAATGTACTCGACTATTAACCAATTAATAGATAAGGGACTTAACTTGCATATCGATCGATTTTCTGTTTTTAGCTTAGAATATACGAGCAGGACTCTATTAAAGGTTTAATTCTGGTTCTGGAGCCGTTCAAAGATATGTCTATTACTGGGAACAGTGTGTACTCGGGAAAGGACTCCGAAGTTGTGGTTACGGAATTCAGAAAAGGTGTAACACAAAAGTTAGTATTGAGACAATATGATAACTATTATTTTAACCGATTAGAGGGTACATACGCTGGGATGCATCGTATGAATTTGCGAGGAAGAGCGCCGATGATTGCATGCAATGATAAACTTGTTGTGACCGGAGAATCTGCGAAGGGATTGATTATTTATGAGAATCATAAGAAAGTTGTAGAGATGATGGTTTGTATACAAATGCAAATATTATTATTTTTCTGTTTCATGGAATTTTCAGGAAGCCCACGAAATGATTATCAATGCAATTATTATGAATAAAGGTAAGATTTATTCCGGTGGCTGGGATAGAGTGGTCAAAGTTTGGTCGATGGACGGCAAGGAAATCGAGAAATGTCCTGTTTCTATAGTTATTAACACCATGGTTTATGGAAATGATCGGGATATTTTCGTAGCCGGTGGAGATGGCATAATTTTGAAGCTTCAAGACAATTAAATTCTGAATATAAGACGATATAGTCTTAAGTAGATCAATTAAATCTTCTACATGTTTCACTGTAGTTCTGTTTGTGTTATGAATTATATAAGTAAAACTTCTACATTTAATGCAAAATTGTATAATTTTAAATATATTTATTTTATTCTTATTAAACAAAGTTTATTTTATTTAAAGTAACCGAAGACTAATTGATAATTAATTAAAGTCCACGTTTATGGACATTTCTGATACAAATTAAAAAACAGCTATATTGAAATTTAATGATCTTTGTTTCTAATACAGGGTGGGCCAACTTGGACTGACTGTTTTAAAATTTTTATAACTTTTCAGTTTTTAAATTATGGATATTATTTTCCACACTTATATCAGAAAAATTCTAATAAACTATACTTTCATCTAAAAAAGGAAATCTAAAAGAAAATCAATTACAAAAGTTATATGTATTTTACATCAGTCAGTTGAAGTTAGCCCACCAAGTATAAAAACACAATGTAGTATAGAAAGCCAAGGTGTTCCTCAACAAATATATATATATAAAATCGACTTATTCATGTTTAAAAAATATACAGTACAATTTGTAAAAGCTGCAAATATTTCATAATTAATCAAAGTTAATGTGAAAGTAATTATATTCTAAAATAGTGAAAAGATTCCTACTATTCGATCTAATTAACTTCTTAATTAATTGACAACGTTTCATATAGAGTCCTTATTCATTTTGTGATTTGTCATAAGTATTAGGTAGAGTTAGTTTTAATAAAATTATTTTAGGAGTTACTCCTTCAAACATATTAGAAGCGGCAACATGGTTAGAAAAGTTTATTTAGTAAATAAATAAAATTTAGCTATAATCATGTACACGCCTTTATTTTTCACTTTTCTCTATTATCGTAAAAGATATTTTTACGAATAGTTTCATGTCTATAAAATAAATATGTTGCATTTAAGTAATAATTTACTTGAACTTTAACATGCACTATAAAATATCACGACGGAATATTAATATCGTGCGAATATACCCTAGAGAAATTGCACTTGACGGACACGACTTATTTGTACAAGAAGAGACTGATATTTCACTGTCGTGATTATTTTGCGCAGAACTTGGTGAAATATATAATAGAAAATTGCTTGAAGGGATAACATCAGTTTGTTCGCATATAATCATCTCGATAATAATATTTATCTTACAATTATAATTTTTATAATGAATAGTTCTTTGCAAGACGAATAATTAGATTTATTCTTATGTATTTCAAAGCTTTAACTTGTTACAAGGAGATTTACAGTTATAACAAATTAACTGTCTAAATAAAAATTGATAATTTCTTTAATAAAATATAAGGAAGATGTACTATCTGTTTTGTTGCATTTGTTTCTTTTGACGTTTTTTATTAAATAGTTGTGATGTCTACAATGAAAAGTATTTGTACGTAAGTATTTTGTTTATTTTAATCTATTTTTTCAAATTTATTCGGTCAGTAATACGAAATTTAAAATATATAAAAGTAAAAACTATGATAAAGTGTGGTAAGATATGTATATTTAGAAATTTTTAAAATTCGCCCGACCTACGAACAACCATTTGGATCGGAACTAGTTGGTAAGTCGGGAGATACATGTATTTGTTTACTTTAAGTAATCATTGCAATAAATATTATAATTATTTGGACTATTGCGTTTATGTCTTCCATTTTTTTTGAATATATTTGTGATAATCTTTCATTAGAAGAATTGGATTATAAAATTATTGTTTTTTATTTTCTTTATTTTTGTTCCCAATTGATATTTATTTTCTATTTGTACTGTATATTTAATATATTAGGAAGGTTTTACTTAGTCTTTAAATCAAATAATAATGTTATAAAAGGGTTGACTACTATTTTTTGTAAGTAATTAAGTATATAATGAGAATAGTTCTGGTAACAGCAAGATAAATAATAGAAGTTAAAATGAGGTACACAGTTTATTTGGTTGCATACATTATACATCCACGAGATGCAAACTAATTTTGTATGCTGCAGAACTCGATTAAAACTATGTGGAATTTGATCATTAAAATTTCAATTTACAGTAATTCAATTCACACTTTCCTAATGAGAAAGGATAATTCAATTTTCAAAGTAAATTAATTTTCGCAAGAAATAGCGCATAAAGCGCGTTAGCAACACGACGCAATTAATTTAAAACATACATATATATAAAATATTATGAAAATTCGTTGATTTTTCAAGGACCAAAAGTAACGCGTAATATTAGTATGCAGAGCCCTCAACTCAATCAATTTCCGTGGGATTGTGCAGAGAGCAGATATTCGTTTCCCAAAAGTCGATGTAATACGGAATTGTTTTATCCGGCTCCAATTTCCCGCCGAGCAGAAAATCTTGCTCACTGATATTTTTGTTTTTATCATTTTCGTTGTGAAGAGCGCACAGTACGGGCCTTGCAAACTCTTCGAGGCTGAGCAACTCCCTTTCGTATCGTTTATCGCAAATTTTTCCAACCAATTTAAATCTGAAAGAGCATATAAATATTAATAATGAGATCACAGAGGAGCGGACGTCTGGACGAACGGATTCTCGTTGAAGAAACTTGGGTTGAAAATAGTTTCCCTGACGTCTTGCGATTTGTCGCGGAGTCTCAGCAAATCTTCGAATTTCCTTATGTTCTTATGATCGAAACAATATGGGACACATTCGGATTTTCTCAGGAATCCTTCATTGTATAGCTTTCTTAATTCGACCATGTAGTCTTTTATAGGAACTACTTTCATTAAGTTTTCTATAACAGATAATTCACTAATAGAAAATATTAGTAAGTTATTAAATTAAAAAAAATAATATGTTTGTTTTACTTAGATTTGTGCAAAGAGAACACTCCTTCTCTATGAAATGTCCTTAATAAATGGTGACATCTGAATAATATGTATAAAACCATTTTCCTGTAGTTATCTTCGCTTTGCTGTTTGTAGATGTTCTGATTTTCTTCAAATTTGGCTCTCATTTTGGCTCGCATTGCTTCGGTGATTTCGGCAATTCTCTTCCGGTATGCCAATAAATCTTTAGGGAGTCTTCCTTGCATATACTTTCGTACCTAAGAGGAATCGAACATTTTTAATATAATTACAACAAGATTAGCAATTCTACTAGGTATCCTCTCCAAGCAGCTTGAATCCTCGTAGCCATTTTATGGAGGTAAAGCAAATACATGTCCCTTTGATGCTGCAAAAGATATTGGGCTCTTCTTTTGCGCACCATCCATCCTCGACAATAGCTCTGGATGGTAACAACTGCATTCCTAACGTTCAGATACCATTTCCGCCAAAAATATTTCCTCCAAGTTTTTTGTATAAGAGTTACGCAAATCGAACGAAATTTCGTCACTCTCGTCAAAATCCTACATAGGGAACGTTTATTATTTGATACTTGTGAATGTTTACGGGGTTTTAGAATTACCCTTGGGTAGAGCGTAATTCATCTGGCAGGGAATTCGTCAAACTGAAAAGATACTGTACTGACGCCATTGTCAAAAAAATAAAGTAGAAAGGAACTAGAGTTGAACGTCAAAAATAAATAATGTTTATTTAGGTTCGCTTTTATTTTACGTTTCTAATATATATACAAATAAACATACAATATGTAAATTTAAGAAGCGATAATAAATATTTTCTACATGTCTAAATATCGTTTAAATACATAACAATAATCACTTTCGACTTAAAAAAAAAACAGAAAATTCATTTATTTATACCAGATGAAACAGTTTTACATCTATCCGTCCACATTGTATTGAAAAATAAAATGAAGCAATATTTATTGAAAACAAGTAGAATTGAATTATATATACAAATACTTATAATTAAATATTCTTTTAAACATGCGTGTTCTTTTTAGTATTGGGAAAATACTTTTTACAAATACTGAAAAAATACTAGAATAATCAACTATCATACTTATCAGAGTCTAGTCTTAAATATAGGAACAATCTATCTCTTACAATATGTTTACTTCCTAATAGTACTTAATTAATATTTGTATCTTAATTAATAAAATATATGTATATGTATGTACGTTCTAATTAGGGAATCGCTCAAAACCAAAACCTATCACAATTACAAAATAATTTAAAGAAAGGATAGTGAGTAAATTGCTGTTGCATTTCGCATTTCCCAAAGAGATCAAAATATTTGTTTCGTAAGATTACTTCGATTCATTTGGGCAATTACTCGTTTATTCATTTCATATCTTCTTTTTTCTTAGTTTTCGTCATTCTTCGTTTTCATCGAGTCCCATTCTTTCTATATGTATTTTTTTTTTGTTTCATTTCGATATTTTCTCTCTCGCTTTATGTTAAATAATAATAATATAATAATAATAGAAAAATAAAACACTTTACAAAAAATAAATTATGAAACAAATATATAGTAATAAAATAATATGAATAATAATAAAAAAAAAAACAAAATAAAACTATTATTTATTGTCTTCTTTCTCTCAAACTTGTCGTTAACAAAATTTCTTGAGTTGTGCTTCGTAATGTTTGAAGAAGTCGAGAAATTTTGTTTCGACAATTTTTCGTCGCGTCGTTTTTAGTGGATGGTGCTGAGTTTGTTGTCGCCGGTCGTGAAGTGCTGCAGCTCACAGGTCTTTACGGTTTTCTTCTTTTTGATGTTCATCGGCGAGTATGAGAACTCCATGTTGTGGCATTTGTATATGCCCACGCCGATGAGAAAGATCACCAAGACGACGCATGCGACTGAAACATGAAAATCACATGTAAATGCATTGTATATTTAAAAGAAAACATCGATATTAGTAATATGCAAATTGATAGTTGATTAGTAATCATGTTAGTATCAAAAGATTAGAGTCCGGATAATCCTCAAACAACGCAGTTTCGCTTTAAAACGGTAAGAAAATTTGGTAAATTTCCGTGTCTGAAGAGGATAATAAAAATTCTGGTGGAAATCAAAAATTTCAGATAGTAAAGAGATGGAAATAGCGTCGGAGATAAACTTTTCCAAATGTAGTTGGTTGAAAGTAATTTTAATCAATTTATATAAATAATATTTCATAAATAAAAGTGTACCAAGAAAGTTAGGTGATCAAGATATTTTAATGTTGTTAATCTGTGATGAAGAAAAATTGTTTTTTTTTGATAATTACTTAAACTAAAACCTTTGGAATTAATTCATATACTTGTAGGAATTGATTAGAACCAAATGTATTAAAAACTATGTAATGTTATTTTAAAGTTTAGATTAAGAATATAAAATTTTACTAACATATGGAGAAATAGATATTGTTTTGACATATATTGTTCGAGGTCGGATTCGTGTGTTTTGATAACATATGTTCTTTGATAATATCGATGGCGTCGCTCTCGGAGAGGTTGAGTTCCTTCAGCAGTTGGATGAGGTTGGTCAGTTTGATGTACTTGTTGTTGGGATCCTCGCGACATTTGCAGATTTCGCATCCATTTTTGTTCTGCTTGTACCCAGCGTCGCAAGTTTTGGTGCAGTTCGACATGGATGGACACATTTTCTTGAACTCGGTTTTCACGATACAGAAATGCGAGATACATTTAGGTTTCCCGTTAATGCAAGTGCAGTTGGTGCATGAATCTTCCATCCAAGTATCTTGATGGCTGTAGATCTTTTCTCCGCTGAAGCACGGCATCTTCGGATCCTGCTTCTGCTCCTCCGGTTTTTCCAGACTTGTGCACATCGAGACGCCGTTCTTACAAATGCATTCCACGCCAGGCATACTTTTAGACATAAAAGTCTCATTGTGGTTAATGGACTTGCCTTGAACGAGGCAGGAGCGATTTGAGCATTCGTAGAGGTCACAGCAGGCTCCAGGGATGTTTTGGCCTTTCCTTTTGTTAATCAAGATCTGGTTATCGGGACAGGAGGGTTTCGGGCATGGGAAGCAGACGCATTTGTCTTCGATCTGACCATCGTTATAGATATAAGCATGACTGTCCGATGGGCAGGTTTTACATACGGTTACCATGCAGCAGTCTTTCTTTTCTCTAACTTTCACGGAGTTCGAGTCGCAGATGTGCTCCAAGGGACATTTGTTCACGTCGCAAACGCACTCCCCATTCTGCACGGACTTTTCCGGATCGGAACACAAGCATTTTCCGGTTCTGTCTAGGTATGCATTGGGGGCGCAGGAGCAGTTTCCTGCCAGGATGGTCTCGGTGGTGCACGGGTCGCAACTGTAGATAGGACAGCATGAACCAGGGACAGGACTCTCTTGCTCGATAACGTTTAATATCTTATCACAGTTCGGCTTCACGCACTTATCGAAATCACACACGCAAACCCCGTTTTCTCGGATACTGTCCAATGGGCAATCCAACTTCGCAGTCACATATTCTAAATATGGAGATGCAGCACTCAACACTGTAACAAAGAAAAACAACAATTAGTTTGCTAAATTTCGTAGATATCAAGAAATAATGAAATAAGAATAGATCAAAATGTTTGTTAGACATAAATCTATAACATTTTTTTTGATGTAATTGTTTTCTAATGTTAATTAAACACTTAAGAATATAGGTACCGAATTTTTCGGACTATAAGACGCACCTTTTTTTACATAGAAAAGTGGTCTCAAATTTTGGAGCGTCTTATGCTCCGAATGTAACATGAAAATATTTTTTTCAATAAATTGTCTCTAAATTTGAAAATAAAACAAAAAAGACTTTCATATAACGTGAGGTATAAACTAAATGTGATCAATTATGCAAAACAATATGGAAACAGAGCAGCAGAAACACATTTTGGTTCGAGAATGGAGAAAACAAGAGGAACATTTAAAACTGCTAAGAAAGACAAGAAAACATTCCGTTCGCAATTAGAAAAATGGACTCAAATTTTGGGTGAATCTTATGGTCCGAAGGTAAAATTAAATATTTTTTTTCAATAAATCGTCTCTAAACGGTAACCAAAATGTTACTTTGTTATATTATTACTTTGTAATTGAACGAAAGTATTTGTTACACTGAAGTTAAATAATAAAATCGTTAAACTTTATTTGTTTCGGACAATAACATGAACTGGTCTATAACATACACAAAACAATAAAAAAAAGTTATTATATAAAAATCAATAAGACGTATTTTTTTTTTATAATAAGTGAAATCCGTTTAAGAATAAGATTACCCGTGAATTGTGTATATATGCCAGGCTGTATGCTCGCTTTATGCGGAGCAAATTTTCATGGAAATGTTATTACCGAGAAAGTCTTTTAAAATGATTAAAAATAAAGTTAGTGCGGATTTTTGCGCATCCCCTTGCCGGTTTTCATTTGTTTGAAAAGGCAGCCAGGAGAGCCGACATAATAGGACGTGACACGCGTGACGGTCCTCTAAATGCGAGGGGATGAACGGCGACTTTATTAACTCAGTTGCCAGTAATCTCTCCTTAGATTTATATCCGTAAAACCATATGGAAAGTGAGCTGAAATGAATATAATATGCTAAGGATGGAAGTGGGGAATAAAGAAAAAAATATACACATCGGAAAAGATGTAGGCTAAAGGCAGATTTCGCTTTCCCATGATTACTTCGGGAGCTTTGAACATTGAAAAACGATGCAATACACATAGGACACATATTGTATTCAATTAATTGTAATGTGAGTATAATAAAAATAAATGTAGCATATTTAAATAACTTTATAAATAATACGTTTACTTTAATAAATAATTGCGGATGACCATTATCGAGTAGAAATTACACAGCTTACGAAAGTTAAGCAACCTTTATCTATTTTATATATATGATTTATTTATTTATATGATTAGGATTGATGAGCGTTATGCATACTTAGATTAAAGCAATGTTTTATTGATTGGAACGCAGGGTTCTTTATCAAATGGAGAACTTCCAGAAAATAATATATTCAAGAATGTACACAAAATTCAACAATAAAAAAAGTAGAGATAAAATATAGGTCAACCCTCTAATGGTACCGTGGTTTATAAAAAAACTCAGAATTGATTGAAATTATGAATCCTTTCCTTAAACACATTTCCTTTTACTAATGTATTTGAGTTAGACGTATCGATTTCTCTTTATCTAAACTTTACATTATAGAGTAATACAAGAAATGTACTATTATTTCATTAATACTATATATATTTTTATAACTCTGCAAGTGATATTATACAAAATAATATTTCAAAATACATTTAAAAATGTTGCTATAATTGAATGTAAATCTTATACTTATTAACCAGAAGTTACAACCATTTAAAGACTTAACCATTGAACGTATAGTATAGGTGTAAAGAGAGGAAAAGGCAAGAAAGTAATATTGAAAATGTGTTGAAACGTTTAGCGAGAGTTGCTTTGCGAAGGGAAGACACAAAAAATGCGTAAGGCGGGTGTTAATTCTGGTGGCAGCACATAAAGGGAGGAGTAGGTTCGTTGCGAGCTTCTCGCTTTCCTGTTATATTTATATTTTTTCCCCAACATGTGCAAGAAGGTAGGAGCTTTTGCAAAGAAAGGGTACGAGTAGGAGACAGAGTGATACGAAGAGAGTTTGTGGGGAAAGTGTACCTGGCGGAGTTTCTTTTGCGTAAACCGGAGAGTCCGTCATTGCACCCGAGAGAGGCGATAAATTAACCGCCCTCTTGTCTTCGTGCCGGCACAAACTTCCCCGGAAACGTGCACTTGGCGTATGTAAAGCTCCAGGAAAGGATGGAAAAATAAAATTAAACGGGAAATATGGAAACACGTTCGTCGAAATGAAATGTTTTTCGAGGCCCGCACAATTCGCGTCTATTTATCAAAGCATTGTCAAACACAATGCGCAAACTTTATCTCAGTTTTCCATCGTCTGCAAACGCCAATAAAATAAATATATATATATATAGATATATGGATGTACGAAATCGCACCGAAGTTTTCCTGGACAAAAACTTTCTGTCTTCCTTGTGTTTATTTCCTTTACTGTTTTTTTTTCTCTTCAATCACGCTAAAACTCTAATTGGAAAAGCGAACCTTTAAAATAAATTATAAAGTATCCAAACTTTTACCCAAATATTTTCTCTGTTTAATACTTTTTTCTACTTTCCTCTTATACGTAAATTAATTAATTTGTATAATCGGACGTGCTTAATAACTAGAAGGAATTAAATATAATAATATAAATTTATTGAAACAATTATTGGAAATAAAAAAAACTTTTAAATAAAATACAAATATATTTCACTTTAACATCGGACTTCATAGCTAAGTTAACTTTGTCAAGCAGTAAAATATTAGATACTATTTTAATAATAAAACACATCCTTTTAATCATTACTGTCATAGTTAAGTCTTCATTTTGGATCTTATTTAGTAATATTTGTAATAACGTGCACGTAAGTTGCTCTTGTAAGTTGAAAAACACAGCCCTAGATTGTTATAAGACAATTCTTGATGATTGCAATATTTCTTCCTGATTATATTTATTTAATATACAAGATAGTATCAATCGTTTATCATAAGTAACGTCCGCATTATCTAAGAATTGGATAGTTAAATAAAAATAAAAGAAAGGTTGAAAGCGTATGGTATTGTCTGCGAACTTATTAAGCCAAGACATTATGAAGATAATATGCAGACAGTGCAATATTCTCCCCAACGACGAAGGCGGCACTCCCTGCATTGCAAACACTGTACTAGACCTCATTGTAACGAAAGCCACAACACACCAACACATTCTCATATGTTTAGCTCCCATGAGGAAATCCAGAAAAAGCACGAAACGAAAGAAGTAAGTTGAATACGAAGTGATGCATTTCATCAATAAATCTTCATCGAATTATTGATACAATGCTTGAAACATTGGCGCAATATGGCTTTCTGCAATTAGCATCATATTTATGGAATATAATTTATATTCATCAACTCAGTGTTTCGCAATTAAAAATATGTACATATAGAAACAAGCATTTTGCTTCTACGGCGTCGACAAATTTACGATGAATTATGTGAATAATGCATTATTACGCAACAACTATGATTGGAAATAACAAGTAGTTGTGAAATGCACAATTGAATATTTATAATCAAAAACATTTTTGAACATATTTAGATATTTTATGCAAATTTTATTAGTTTTATATAATTCTGTTTCAAAGGAAAACCACATTTTCTGGTTTGTTATTTCGGTTTTCCCAATAAAAGTGTGCCATATTTATGACCTAGTGACACGTTTCTTGGCCAATTACGAAAGCGACCCAAATTGTTTGAAAACCGCAAACTCATATATATACCGAAAAAGTGCGGAAGACCGCGAAAACGGAACTTTTGAAGTTCATTAATAAGTTCTGGACTCGGATGACAATGAGAGTAAATTGAAGCACTGTGTGGATGCGTCGAATAATAATCTCCTATTGTTCTCAAAATATATGCCCTTTTATTTATTTTTGCTATGTTTTTATTTCTGCTTTGGCTGCACATTTAAATTCTTTGTCCTCTATTGTTTCACAAGTTTATGAAACGCATTGCCGCCAAATGGATTTATTCCCAAACACATATACTGTTCCTGCGAACATCGTCCATCCATATTCTTGTAACGTCATTACATATTTGTTGCCTTTTCATCATCATCAAGATAAACACCTCGATCATGCGCTTTGCAAATAATCATTGTGAAATCGCTCTACTTCCTTTAATATTTTTTTTTATGTGCTGCAAGTAATTAAGATTATGTAAACGAATCTGTAACAATTAATGCTGGTGGATGCAACGATAACAGCGGTGAAACTGCGAGATTTGACGACTTATCGCGCAATGACTCATTTTATGGCACCAAACCATTTGATGAGAACGTTGATAGTTGCAAATAACACGATTTTCCTCCAAAAACTAAACGTGCGATCGTAATTTGCTTATAACGACAGAATTACTAATAAAACAAAACCGAAATAGTTTAACTCTGTAAACAATTCAATTACCAATGAAATTATATTTTGGACAATTAGACTTCAATTTATATTTGAGGTCATTATTAAATTTAAACCATCACAAAAAAAGGTAACGTTTTTTTTTGTTTCATTTTTAACTTTTTGAATAAATAAATTATTACTATGGGTATTTTTATATTCCTATTAATATTTATGTAATAGTATAGTTATAACACATAATGGGAGAACAGTAGTTAAATTAGGGCACCGAAATGAAAACTAAACAAATGTAATTTAAACGCAATGGTTATCAGGAATGGATGAATCGACAAAGGGAATGGAGAAATAGAAAATCAAGAGAGTAATGCATTTCGAATGCGCGTGCTTCCTAAATTAAAACCTAACAATGGAATGGAATATTTCGGGCCTTTGAAACGCGACAATTTCCCCTCTCCGCGTTCCGGATACGCTTCCGTTTTGTTTCTGTGTTTATTAAAATTGTGTTC